CTCATGCATGCGCAGTTCATCGTTTTATTATTATTAGCTCGATATAGCACAAGTTGAAGATAACAGAACCAATCATTAATCTATATTTTATTTATTTTTCCTGATTGTACAGAAGCTATTTGTCATTCTGAGTCATCACTCTCAGAATGTTGACTGGGTGTGGACGTAAATTTGCAAACGAGTTGAGAGCTTCAGCATCGAACATTTTCTAGCTAGTGTTCATTCTCGTTTGGCATTCTTTATCATTAATTTTGTATGTTCGATCAAACTAATTTTAGGAAGACATAATACCATTTTTTGCATTACATGTGTATGGAACATTACTGGCGAGAGATAAAGTGTGAAGTATATATTTATTAGTACTGCAGTATATTTCGAAAAATTAGAATCGTCGATTATTATAGACGGGATCAAACACACCACCTTGAGGTGGCATACACGCATTTTCCCACTACATTAAAGCTCACTTAGCTTCTTGCTAAATGTATCAAATATTTATTTATATATTAATATTTTGAAAAAAAGAACACATCTAGTTTCAAGTCCTGGTTCCGCCACTGAGAATTAGGGACTATAGTTTACCCATTAGAGGTGAATTTGTGGGTACCCAATATGAATTTATAGGTGTTGCATACCTTTAGTAGGAAAACACTATATTAGCCCTTGAATTAACCGGATATTGGAGCACGGTACTATACATCAATCCTTAATGAGTGAACTCTAGGTCTTAATTTTCTAATACTCGAAACCCTAAGATTGTTTATCTAACATGTTGGATGTATATCGATGAATTAGAACCGTGAAACTACCGTTTCTCATTAAATTGATCTGATGGTATATGATTTCAAAAATTAGGGCATAGGTTTTCTTAGGAATACAACTGTACAAAACCTTTCATTCCTTTCTTAATTTATTTTACTTCAACTACATTCTGTTTGTTTCTAAATTATGCACCTACTCTAGCTGTAAACTCTTTTGTAACCATGATATAAACCCAACGGCAAATGGGTTAACTATCCAAAAACTCGGTTGTAACCATGATAATTAGTCGTCTAAACAGAATAATGATATAGTACTAATTAAACAAATTCCCCCACTTGAGGCTAAAGCTCTTGACAAGGAATGAATGCAGAAGATATCATTAATTAACAAGTAAAAATTCGATTCGGTCGTTTCATATGACGATAAGGTGAATGCCAATCTTTGAACATATTCGACATGTTCCCCTTCAATCGAATCCATATTTGGTAGGCATGGGATTGAAACTCTTGCCGTCTTCATCATTAGCTAGCTAGGTAGCTAGGTAGGCTAAAATATGTATATGCCTATAGATTCTCGATATAAAGCTGCTTTGCGTAAAGTCTTTGAGAGGGAGAGATCGATCGTCCTGTCTATTGTTGTTTAATTAGTGTTTGGCGTACATTTACATGTAGCAAAATTGGATCAACAATGGCGGAAAGATCATGGAGCCGTCATTATCTGAAGATAAATAAACGACAGGTACAGTACTTTCTGTTAAACTCTCTCTTTTAACACCCGTTACTCTCAAGGGCAGTTTGTTTCGTGAATTTGAAAAATGAACGTTTTGGTATAATTTGAGTTTTGATAAATAAACCATGAATATATGAGCGTTTTGGGTTAATTATGGATTTGAAAAAAATCATTGTTTGTTTCATAGATTTCATTTTGGATTTTGTTAATTAAATTTGTATGTATGAAGTGAACTTTATCATTATTGCCCTCAATGATATAAGAAGAGAAAGAAAATATGAGGGGTAGATTAGTAAAAAATTATGAACTTCAAAGTCCCTGATCAATTCCCACCTAAAGAGGTGGGATTTTCAAGTCCGTGGTGCCCACGGATTTGGACCCTCAAAGTCCATGGGTCCCACGAATTTGGTAACCTTGGATTTTGAGAGTAAAGGATTATGTTGGATTTTGTTATTTTGGATTTGAGTTGGATTTTAGAAATTGCATGTTTGCTTGTTGGATTTCAAAATGGATTATAATATAATGGATATATGGGTTACATGATGAATTTACCATCATATCCTTATTCATATCATTAATAAAGTATTTTTATTTTTTAGTTAAGGATACTTTGGTCAGTTCATCATTAGTGGAGTCCATGGATTTTGGCTTCTCCCAAAGTTCTAGCTCATAAGGTGAGATTTTATAATCCGTGGGGTCCACGGATTTTGAGCCAAAAATAATCTCACATCTATGGGCCCACGGATTTAGGCCAATCTCATTTTAGTAAAAAAAAAACAGGGATTTAAGACATAATCAATCATATGTGGGATTTTGAGGCAAAATCCCTCATCAAAATCCTACAAGCAAACGACCTCTAAATACTTGAAGCAAACAATGATTTTTAGACAAAGTCCATCATGAACCCAAATCCATGACCAAATCCTTCACCAAACAACGGATTTGGTCACTCTGTTTATTAATATGTTTCACGGTTGTCATTAAAAAAATTCTTTCTTATTGGCCACGGATTTTAAATCACTGTTTTATGTTCATCAATGATTGTCTACTTCCGTTAACTTTGCCTAAGGTGTAGTCAACAATGAGGTTTGGCTGTTAAGTGGCTTCACATGTTCGCGAAGGGATCTGGGAGAAGGGAAAATAAAGAAACCCAAAAAGAGAAGATGTAGTCAATGTATATAACTTCATCGTTTCTGAGAAGATAACTCCTATTTATACAAATTTTGGGTAGGCACATTGATTTAGTGATGGGAATGGCGTGTCGGGGCTGTAGCTCAATATCCATGCTCCGCCCCATGCTACTATGAGTCGGGGCAGGTCGATCCACTCTAACATGTTATTTGAAAAAAAAAATACATGTTAAATTTTACTTTCTACGATATAACGAAGGAAAAAACACTTTATGCATAAAAATAATGATACTAGAATGGGTAATTGAAATATAGGGTTAATACCTTATTTTGGCCTGAACTATACTCAAATTTTCTACTTTGGCCTGTGGTTTCTAAAATTGCTCCTCTGGCATAAACTATGCATCATACTTTCTTGCTTGCCCCGACGTGAAAGTTCGACAGTCAAATTGAACGGTCAACTCCATTGACCGTTAGTCAAACGCCAGGTCACTTGCCACATCAGTAAACCCGAAATAAAAAAAAGTTGGATTTTTAATTAATTTAATTGATTTCGTTTTCTAATAGCAATAATAATTAAACAAAAAATAATAATTCAAAAAATTGGATAACGAAAAAATAATTTCAAAAATGTCAAAATCCAAATATTTTATTTTGGGTTTGCTGACGTGGCAAGTGACTTGGCGCTTGACTAACGATCAATGGAGTTGACCCTCTAATTTGAAGGTCAAAATTCGCGTCGGACCAAACAAGGAAGTATGGTGTATAATTCGGGCCAGGGGAGCAATTTCAGAAATCACATGACAAAGTAGAAAGTTTGGATATAATTTGGACCAAAATAAGGTATTAACCCTTGGATCTAACTAATTGAAAGATCATGTCTAACTAGTTGAAGAAAAGTAGAAATAGGAGAAATATGAATAGATACTGCAAGAAATTGAGATAAAAAGGACCAAGAACGGGGTGGGACCAGGCAAGACGGGTAAGAAATAGATACGCATGCCCCACCCCACGCTACTGCAACTCGGGTAATACCCAATCCATAATACCCAACAGGACGGATTCAAATTGCCATCCCTACATTAATTATTATTATTTTTAGACTATTAATGCTATAATCGAGCGTATGCTTTTTCGGTCACTGCAGTGTTCAGTATTTTTCAGTCGAAAGATGTCTAACACAATAATGCCAGTTTCTAAGGTTCGTTCTTTGATTTTGGCTTCTCTTTGTGGGGTTTTTCACGTGTCTTGGGTTTTGAGTTTTAACTCTTATCACCTTCCTTTCTAAGTTTGACATTTGCTCTTGAAAAGCATCATTTGGACTTTCTTATCTCTTATGCTACATCACAATCTACAAAAGTAGCAGTGTGAAAGGTCTTGTCCAATCCTCAAAGAATATATCTTCCCATGACGACTTTCATCAAACATGTATGTAGCACTAATGTATAATATTATAACCCGCATGACAAGCTGAGGATTCAGATCATAGCATATAAATTTTTCCACTTCACATTCTGGGTAGATCCCTCAGAATCATAACGAACCAATAAGAATGAGCAGGGTTTGTTGGCATACAGAAAGGAAAATAGAAAAGCAAAAAGGTGGAGAGGAACTCCTGCATTAGGGATGGAGGAATCGAAAGACCAAATAATGGCAGCGTAAACAATCCCTACCTTTTCATTAAAGAAAATGAATGATAATCATTAGGGATAGGCGATGGAAGAATAGAAACCATGTTCTCTTAACTTTTGCTTCAAAACCGTATTGGGTTGTGCCAAAAAAATCGAACAATATGATATTTGATGCTGAAACAGTGGTTTAATAGTTTCAATAGTTTCATATCGATAAAAACTACTTACCGATTTAGCTTCCAATAAGAGGTTTTCCTGGTCGAATCGTCGATACGATTTTACGAACACTGCTATTAATGTACAGACATGCCTGAGTTGACGGACACCAACTTCTGTGGGATGGGCTGTGTGGCCCTGATAACAAAATTCTGCCTAGTACTTTCACTATGTAGCATATTGTACGGAATGCCTGTTGCTATCCAACCTAGCTTGATGTTGCCCCTGATCACTTAGGGAGACAATTTCATTATGTCACTCACTGGACCTTAAAATGAGTAGGACTACATCGAAAGTGAAAGAAGGAATAAAGAGGATTTCCAGTTGTAATCAATCACAAGGGTGTCTGCAACTAATGGAAATACACACAACACAATCGTGAATCACATCAAGACTTCTACTCGCTGGGAAAAAGATGGAAAGAAAAGAGCACCTAGTACCCAGAAAATTATCAGTCTTCATTTCCACACATAATCAAATCAGCATGTAACCCCTCATTAACTATCTATGATAACAGAGAGAGACAGCATCAAAATCGGTAAACACAAAGATCAGTGAATAAAAAGCTTCATTAGGGTTTGGCAGCAACAAAGTGCAAGTGCAATTGTTACCTTATGTATGTCCTCACTCAAAGTAAATAGCACAGCACTAAGAAGTTTCTACATCGGCCTAAACATTAAAAACACAGTTTCAATGTTGTTTCTTTCCTTTGTCACTTCCTATCAAGTGTCCTGACAACATCCACTGCTTTGTGTTGGTGTGGAAAGCAAACAGAACAAAGTGAGAGAAGGAGAGAAGCATTATCAAAGCTTCAAATAGAAAAGGGTATCTCTCTGGGGGACGGACAGTCAAGTAAACAATATGAAGCACAAGTGAGCCTAGATATGCAAGGGTCAAGAGAACAGAGACTAAAGAGAGAGGGGTAGAGCCTTGCCTCTTAGAGTCATCCCATCTTCCACCAGGTGGATGGTAGAGGAAGATACAGAGAGCATACAAAGCAATATATGGCAGAATCAAATTGTCTCTGCATACTAGAGGGAACATCGAGAACAAAGCGTAGTGAGTCAGTAACTTGAATGGACGTGGCCATTCCATCGCCAGGAGTGTTGCAGGAAGAAGAGGCAGCAGAATAGACTTCTCATGTACTGCAGAATTCGCATGAGTTATGATGTAGTCTAGATTAGACTAAAACTGAATGCATTCAAATCAATGAGTGAGGACGTAGATGAAAATAGCTACCAACCTTGGAATGAAAACAAGTAGAACGAGAGAGAACTATTCAGCAATCCATAAAGGAAACCTTTGCTACTGGGAGCCAATATTTGCTGAATCATTGAAGGAAGACATGCTAATATGGTGGCAACCATGCTGAAAAGTCTCAGTGACTGTGTTGGAAATAATCTCTTCCACTTGATGAGAACAGAAGAAGTGCACCAAAAGTTGGCTACATAGTCCTCATATATCCCTCTCTCAAAAGGAGCGAGGCGAGAGAGAACCTGCAGCAAAATTTGGACATGTAGTCAAACCAGTCTAACTATAATGAAAACCCAGAACTAGAAAAGAGTGATAATCAGATCCCAACCCTTAAATTTCTTCTAGTTTCTGCAATAGACATGTCTCTCCCTACTAAGAGAGCATTTTACTCTAGATCACTGTCTTGAATGTCCCCAAAGCAGTAGTTAGTTGCTCACTTGCTCTCTTAACAATATTATAAATGTGATAATAGTTCGTGTCATACATAGTGGCTAAGAAACACTCAACTCTAATTGACGAGACACAGGAAAGAGAGGCAACTGCCTAAAGATTACCTACAAGCTTATGTAAACAGAAAAGCATGGTCAAATTGTGTATCACAGGTCACTCACCAAGACAAACCCAAAATCACTCTATCAAGTTTTGGTAATAAAGCAGGAGGCTTTCTCAACAAATGTTAGGTTACCCCTTACCTGTAAAGCAGCATCCCTGGAATGAAGATAGGGCCACCAAACCATTGCAAACGTTCCCAGGACCACCAACCCCAATTTTGAAATCTCAAGCAAAGGATGTTTTCGTCTCAGGCACTTACCCAATAGGTGGCTGAAAAATGCTGGTGCAAAATATGTACTCATCTGGAGAAGAAAAATATGAAGAAAAAAAGAACTTTATCACTAGAATAACATATCCATAAGAACCAAGCAAAAGGATAACATATTTTTTTCAGATCATCACACACTACAAAGTTCAAGAAAAGGCACCATCATTCAGTTGTTCAATATTTGAAGGTGGCAATTCTCAGAACTTGAAATAGTATTTTATCAGCTTATAATGTATGACGGCCTCAAGTAGTTAACCAGTTCCAGTTGCACTGATAGCATCATGCCTGAGAAACACCTTTTAATAGCCCCATGTACTCTCGGAATTTTAATAGCACATGCAATATCAAGGGCGTAGATAAACTCAGAATGACAGTATGTACATGTACCAACTAAAGTACAAAATGAAAATTCTACTTCACATACAGAATACATTTACGTAATGTTGCAGCATGACAGGAAAAATCAGTGAAACAAACAAGCAGAATAACTATGAAAAAAAACAGAACTACAAGAGCATTCAAGAATGTTTTTTTTACAAGACTCCTACTAACTTTTAGAGGGAACCTGGCATCACCGCATCAGTGGATTGTGCAAAGGAATTGAACAAACAGTTGCCAGGAAGATGACAGTAGCTGTTGATTTTACCATTTCTCCCAATCCCTATCTATTATTGTAAGCTCTTCTGCAAAGAAAAACCTATCTCCTGATGCGTGAACTTTCCATGAAAACTTAAACATGTCATCTGTCAATCTAACATTTTCCATAAATTACAAACCAGTTCTTTTGCAAAGCAGACCAAAGGAAAAAGGTTACTCCCGCAAAAAGATTCCATGACATGTTGCCACCACACCTCATGAGGATTAGAGACAACGAAGCCTCATCCTGGCCCATCTACTGCCTAACCTAATTGTGTTGAAAATAAGAGGCAAAGGGATCAACACCTGACAACCAGAAAAGGGAAACTTTCGTTGGATGCAACAAAAACAATCACTCAACCATCAACCAAGTACAAACACAGACATCACCAAGTTTGCCATTTCCTTAACATCTACCAGGTAAAGTGTCAACTCCCTAAAACCTTTCTAGTATACTACCTCCGCACATAATCAATCATAACATCGCAGGCAGGCAGGCAGATCGAATACAAAGTAAAAAGGAACATTTGTCATTCAAAGAGGCAATAAGGAGTTACCTGTTTATGGTTGAGAGACAGACAGAAGAGAACACAAGCTAACAGGTCTCTTTGTGAGAGAATGGCAGCAACAGCAGCCAAGGCAAGGCCCAAGCTGATGCAATTATACTGAAAGAGGATAGTTCTGAGGTGAGGATGCATACCCCCAACAAGATACCAGGTTAACAAAACAAAAGGACAAGGGGGAAAGCTTAAATAAGAGAGCACTATTGAGTTTTATAACCTGAAAATGCCCATGGTCAATCAAGACCAAGCACGGATTGATTAGAATGAGTAAAATGTGCCATGCAACATCAGCTTTACGGCCTCTTGAATGAACATCATAATAGGCATGAATAAAATAAAGGACAGAAGGAAAGAATATCAGGAGATCAGATGACAGAACTGTGAATCTCATGAGTAGCTTCCTGTAGATGAGACACAAAAGGAAAAAAATTTAGTTTCCAAACAACTGCAGTGCGAAAAACAAGATGGACACGCTGCTTGAATCCAGATAGGTCAGAAGAGAAAACAACATTTAAGGCAATGGTGCTCACCCAGTATATGATTCATAACCACGCGAGGTAAAGAGGGTAACTGATTCGGGGTCAAAGAATCTGAGGAAAAGTCCATGAATATAGCTTTGGTAGGCAGTAAGAGGTGGGTAATCAAGACCCCAGTAACTCAAATCATTTTTTGTGCTATTAATATACCAATCTTGAGCAGGAAGGTTAACTGTGATCTCCATCCAATGCCTCTGTGCTTCATAATCGCCAAACTTGGGGGGATTTCCAGCACCAGAGTATGAATGTAACGAGACAGTCCAGCGAACCAACAATCCGAACATTGAAATGCACAGGAAAAAAGATGTAAGGCCTTTATGCAACAACCACCAACAGACATCACCATTTTTATTGTTATCCAGTTCTACGTTATCCTTCCCCACTTTTCCTCTGTTGTTTCTGTCCATTTCTCTTGATCCTACAGGGTCATTAGGTGCACTTCGCCTTAAAAACTCATCTCAAACAATTATCTGCACAATCAAGTAACAATTTGGATAAATTAAGCATCAGACTGTCAAAGGGGAAAGAAAAGGGCCACTATATCATCACATTTCTGTTCTCGTATATAACTGGAAAAGCTGTGGGCTTGCCATAGTTTCCATTTTTACTCCCAGAACATCCATCACTCCACTGATCTAGAAGTACACATACTGCATCATCATACATGTACATCACAGCAGGAAACTTATCCTCTATCCATCACGAATAGGTTGAAAATGTGGGAGGCTGGTGGTAACAGTGGGTTACCATTTACTCAAAAGGGATTAACCTAATGATAGTGAGGGAAACCCCATTTACCCTGTCTGCACTCTGCAAACTTATAGTAGAACTATGGATAGCCATTTTCTGCACTTATAATTTATAGGTGAAATGCATCATCCGAAAGAGTTATGGTCTTCAGCTTCATTTATGTGACCACGAAAAACATGGTTCTAATCCAATCGTAAGTTTAAGTTATTGTCTTCTAGCAACCTAAATAACAACGGAGCCCAAGTCAGATTTTTCCAATTAACAATTACCCACCAAAGGAACCATCAACACGAACTTTTTTCCTCTTCAGACTCCCGGATCAACAAACACAAACACCAAAAACTACCATTCTTGCACAAGCTTCCATCATAAAAACAAATTTGAACCAGCAGCCTCTCTCCACCTGTTGTTAATCTACTAACATCGCTCAGGTTTATTATCATCCCACGTTTGATTAGCCACTTCATCATGTTGTTCAGTTATCTCCTCGAATCCTAGATACGCTAAACCGAAAATGTGTTCTGCTTATCACAAACCATGCATTATCACATTCACAGAGTTGTCGCAGATGGAATTGGCGCGAAAAGGGGGTTAGGACTGATTTCGTTCCCATTTGCCAAACTAATGTACAAAACTAAATCATAAAATCAAAACTTTTGTAACATAGGTCTACGGAATGCACCATTACAAAGAATCAATTTTGCACAAAATTAACTTCACTCCAGTGGGAGAGAAGTTCGGAGAGCTGATGCAAGGGAAGAAAGGCCACGAGGATCCATTAAGCTTAGAATGAGGCTACGCCAATCAACAGTCTATAGCTTTCTGTTTGCCTTGAATTGAACGTCCTCCATCCATACCAGGTAAGAAAAGGGGAATATGTTTACCTCATCAAATACAGGGAGGAGAAGTCTAGGATGAACTGGCCAAGTTCTTGTCAGCGCTGTCGGCTCCAGTAGATTCAGCGTGCTCCCCGGCGTTGATTAAGATCTCAAAGGCACAAATTGTCTAGATTCCCCTGTAATTTGGAATCAGATAGGCAATTATTACAATGCATGGTGGTAAGCATAATATGACAATAGTGATGAACCCCTGTCCATATTGTTGCATTCACAGATATGCGTTATACCCCCATTTTTTGAATCTAAACAAGCAAGCAATTCTAGGGTTACATTATCTGAGCCCTAAAGTGAAAAACTTTATAATCTGTAAGCACCCGGCCAAGAATCCCAGCACCACGAGTGTTCGAAATCGAATTAAAAAACAATTCAGTGAAATTCACTTAAGGCTAAGAAGACCCGATTGAGAAATCATGAGGGTTCTGCATTGTTTACTACCCCAACAGACAGGGAGCGGATAGGGTGCTAACCCCATAGATGGTTAGTACCGTAATAACAATCTTTTAAACTGTTCAGTCTTATTTTAAATTCAATGGTTACGGATACAAAAAGGGCAGAAAAGGAAGAGGAAATTTTTTTTTGAAAAGCGAATTTAAGGGAAATGGGCCGGATTTATTGGGATTTCTTGTGGAGACAGCTGCTCTTCCAACTTTTGGGTGTTTTTCCCCCAGAAAACACTACTTCAATTAGTTCATGCGAGTTGTGCAACCTTAATCTCATTGTAGCAATTATTATTCTAATCGTAGCGATTCCAATGACAATAGTAGTCTTTTCTTACTAAGTTCATTTCACCAGAAGTTATGAGAAGTAGTTACGCGAAAGAGTTTGTAGTAGTGTTTTCCAACAAAACACTAATGACTGATGACAGCATTGCATAACCACTACTATAGTCAGTAGCCAGTGAAACCACTACCTCTACTAGTTCGAAAATCACTACGTACTATGTAATGAAGCACCCATTAACAAGCAAAAAAGAAAGAAAGAAAGAACCTTCTTTTCTACTCAAACAAATGCTAAGTGAACCACTACTGTAACAACAAAACACTACTACTCAAGTCTATCAGAATTGGCAAACCGCAACTTGACTCAAACCAATACTACGTGAATCAGAAACCACAACTACTGCAGATGAAGCCATTACTGTAACAACAAAATCACTACAACTCACTTCTAGTAGCATTGGCAAACCACAGGTGGACTTAAAGCACTACTGCTGCTAGTGAAGCCACTACTATAACATCAAAATCACTACTAATCAAGGCTAATTCTCTTCTTCTTCTATACATCCTTGAGAAGACCAACCAAAAACATTGATAGGCGCCCACATTTTCGTTCTCTTTATCCAACTTTTCCTTCACTCAGCCACTGATCAGTATTTTCCATCCTTGCATAGACTAACCCTGCTATTTCCCCAATAATACATTATACATCAAACATCAGTGTTTGTAGTAGTTCATCAATTCCTCCTTACTATTTGTAGAAAAATCCATACAGTATCTAAAATTGGTAATATATATCGAGCGAAACAAGAAAGAACCTCCAAAACAATACTAATGTCAATCATATTGCTATGGTACCAATCAACCTTTGCAGGGGACAAGAGTATACTCTGCAAAAATCTATGAAAACACTAATGCCTTCGGAAACATTCATAAATCACTAGGAATTCTGAGAAACGCTACTAATCTAGATCTAAAAGTTCAGCACATTGTTGTAGAAAAATGAATACGCTCCGGCGACTCTGCGCAAACAATAGGTGAGAAAGACACCAGATCCAACATCCAAATTCCAAACCAACCCTCATGCCTCCATATAATAAAATCACCGAACAAGAAAATCATATAATGGAAAGTGGAAACCCAAAACAGAAAACAAGAGACGACCTGCAATTGCGCCGATGAGCAAAGCGAGAGTCGGAATACTGCATAAAAAAAAGAACACTATACCTAGACAGGCCAAAGGAATGAGTTAGCAATGACTCCGACTGTGGCACCGGTAGTGACGAAAGGCGAAGGAGACGAAATCGAGGGCGTACAAGGGACGACAGGGCTATGACCGTTCTGAAGAATCGCCCGGCTAATTGCCGCGTTTGTGAATTGGGGAAGGGTGGATCTGTGTGTCTACTGTTTCGGGCTCCAGCTTTTCGCTCCATTTTATTGGAGAGTACAATTTGACCCTCCAACATTTCAAATTTGATTGTTTCGGTACACGTACTTTATGTGGGAGTGGATACGGTAACAACACCCATAATTGTTGTTACTGTAACAACATTGGTGTCGACCAATAGGAAGCTCCCATTAGGTAGACTTTTGTGTTGGGAAAAGTTTGACCACTATTCTCCGTATAAACTTTAATGAAGGGTATGTTGGTCATTTTAATAACATTACTTTATTTATTAATTTCTTTTCCCCCTTTTCTCCGTCCCTCCCAACCGTATCAGGGAACCTTTTCCCCCTTTCTCTAACACACATTTTAAAATTGACATTCATTTATTTTTTTTAAAAACTATTTTTTTATTTTCGATTTTCAGATTCCGGTGACCAGAATGCGACGACGGTCGCCAGAAGCCGGTGACCAGAATCTGGAAAACAAAAAGGTCGCCGGAATTAGGTCGACAGATGTTGGAGTACTGTAACCAGCAAATAAATTTCGAGAACAAATTATGATTTCTGGTTGTCAGTGGCTGAATTCCAGCGATGGAGATGAAGGTAGAAGAATGCGAAGTCGCATAATGAATACCAGAAATGCACGAATGCATACCAGTTATAAAAAGCATACCAGAAGTTACATAATCGATACCAAAAATCGGTAAATGCATACCAGAAACCAGGTAATGAATACCAGTTACTATTTAACAATCCAAACCAGAACTTGCATAATCAACACCATAAATCGCCTAATCAACACTATAAATCACATAATCAACACCACAAATCGCCCAATCAACACCACAAATCGCCTAATCAACACCAAAAGCTTGTCAATCCGTACTAGGACAAATAAATGCCACAAATAACCATCGATACAAGAAAATCAATACATAAAGTAACCAAATCGATACCAAAAGTAATAATTCAATGTGGACTAGAAATCTGAAAATCAATATGAGTCGCATAAAATGAATGCCCTATCCATACCAGAACTTGCATTATTAGTACCAAAAATTGCCTAATCGATACCAAAAGCATGTGAATCTATCCCAGTTATGAATGCATGCCATAAATAATTGAAATGAGTAAGAAGCATGTAAAGTTTCCTTCAGATGCTCCGCACGTCATACTCTCACGGTGCTGAGCATCGCTGGTTCATTCGCTTTCGTTTCTCCGATAAGTCTTCCTCGCAGATCTTGCCTCTCCAGCTACTACTTCCTCCGGCGCCCAAATTTTTTTCTAACCAGCATCAGAAGACGCCAGATCCAGCCGGCTCAACAAACCCACTAACGGCGACCGGTGGGAGATTTACTCCACCATGAGCTCTTAGATCATCCTCTCGTTTTATTCATCTTCCTCTGTCGTTCGTTCTATTCATCTTCCACGGCGTCATCAACAACGAAGTCTCTGTCGTTATTGAGATCTGAGATTTCAATCCCTGAAAACAAGCTAAACTTGAGAGTTAATAGACGACGAGGATGACGGCGGAAGGGGGTGAACCGAGACGGCGCGAGGCGGAAGAAAGAGAGTTGCGAAAGAGATTGATATGAGGAGGAAAGAGAAAAGAAACAATAGTATTAAGGAGATGATCGGAAAGAATTGCGGTGAGGGAGAAATCAGTTTTTCATACTTTTTTGTTTTATGTTTAAACTTAAAGTATATTGTTGGTTTACTTTTTTGCCCTCGTTGTTATAATAACAACATATAGAGTGTTGTTATACTATCTTGTGCCTTAGTTCGATACCTGAACTTTCATATAGGCAGTAACAATTATGTCAATCAATCAAGACAAACATTTTTTTTATGTAATCTTCTAATTTGAACACAATGTTTTTTTTTGGCTAATTCTGACGTCATTAATGAAGAAAATACAAAAAAAAAATTATGGGGAAGAAACTACAATAATTGATGAACGCCATATTGAGTGTGTATAGGCTGTAATGCAGTCAAAATTGCGTTTTAAAATTTGAAAACTTACAGTATTACGTTTTTAGGTCACCAAAACATTTTCGTTTCCATATAAAAATTTTAGTGTATAAAATCGGACTAAATTGCGCTTTAAAGTTTAAAAGCTTACGCTTTTACGCTTCTAATTCACTAAAACGCTTTTACGTTTTTAGTTCACTACATGGGTATTCTTTTCGTGAAATTAATTATAAAAAATATATTTTAAAGGTAAATCACCAACAATATGGTACATTTGAGATTAAAAGATAGGGTAAATGACACATTTGGTCACTGAGATTATTAAATTGTGTCATGTTTAGTCACTAGAAAAAATTAATATCAATTTTGGTCACTCGAATTACCGAAACTGGTCAAATTTAGTCACTCTCCCGTCAGTTTCCGTCCAACTCCATTAATGTAGTTGGACGGAAACTTTTGGGAGAGTGACTAAATGTGACATGTTTCAGTAATATGAGTGACTAAATGTGACATTTTTCAATAATTCGAGTGACCGAAGTTGGACAGAGGCTATAGAAGAGTGACCAAATGTGACCTGTGTCAGTAATTCGAGTGACCAAAATTGATATTAAATTTTTCTAGTGACTAAATATGACACGATTTAGTAATCTCAGTGACCAAATGTGTCATTTACCCTTAAAAGATACATACTAGATACATGGATGCTTTCTCAACTTCAATAGAGTAATCTAATTCACCGGCTAGGCTCTTCCCAAATTCATTAGCCTAGAGGGGAAGGTGGCTTGTTGTTAAAATTTATGTTTATGAACTTATTATTAAGAGGCTATAAGTTGCTCTACTTTAGGCATGAATTGCAAGTGTTTATTAACTAATCAACATTATGTGCACTCATATTTTACATAGTATATATCTTACTTAGCATATTTTAGTTATTTTACAGTATGCATAAAAAACTTACGCTTTAATTCTACGCTTTACGATTCTACCCATTTTTCGCTTCTAGGTAGAATCGCGCTTTTGACTGCATTGATAGGCTGTTTGGTTTTGGTGGTGTTTTGACCGAGTTTCGATTACGCAAAAATTGTGTACAATTTTCTCAAGCTATGAAAGGGTTAACTGATTCAACGGAAAAAAAAATAAATACAAAAAAACAATACTGAATGGCAGGAGTTCCGCTATCGATATAACGAATCTGTTTGATATGCGCGTGTCGTCGAGCCGAATTCATGGATTGATTAATCAGATAGAACGACTCTATCCCGTTAAGAAACTATTGAAATGTAATTAATTAGTCTTCAATGTGTTACTTAATTAATGATCATATATATATATACAAACCAAATAAAACTATTAATGACCATGTAGCCCACTGGCCACTTCACTATAATTTGACTAGTGAGTCGATTCCCTCCAGCTGCCGGCCATCTAATATTATTTTTCCTCCATGATCAACGTCAACCTCCTCGTTATCATATCCTTTCCCTTTCAAAGGATAAAACAGACGTAAACTACAATAATAAACCACCACCTCTCCCCTCTATCAACAATAATAATAGATATTCACTAGGAAATTAAGGATCAGTTTACTTTTGCAGTCAAGAAGAAGAAGAAGAAAGACGATGATCAAGAAGCTGCAGGCTCTGCTGGGGAAATCATTCAAGGCGTCGAGGTACAAAACGCTGTCGGATCTGGTGATCTCGAGGATCGCGTACCTCGAGAGACAACACAAAGCACGCTGCTCCCAAGCCACAGACGACGTCGCTCAGCTCCTCGCCCAAGGCCACCTCGACCGCGCTCTCCTCCGTGTACTTAATCTCTAACTTAGTCTCACTAATCACATCGTTTAATCTTAGATTAATTGATTTGACTCCTCCTGCTTGATGATCTTGGGCCAGGTGGAACACGCGATCAGGGAGCAGAACGTGCTGGATTCATACGCCATGATTGAGAACTACTGCCATCTCATCTCCGAGAGGCTCGTCGTCGTTGAAACCCATTCCAAGTACGTATTAATTAATACGTACGTACGCGTGGTTCACTAATACGATGGATGATGATGTGTGTTAGCTTAAATCCACGAGCCGCGCGCGATGTATGTATGTAGGGAATGCCCCGAGGAGCTGAAAGAGGCGATATCGAGCTTGATCTTTGCAGCGGCCAGGTGCGGGGATTTACCTGAGCTGCAAGAGATGAAGCGGCTGTTCACTTCCAGATATGGCAAGGAGTTTACAGCTCGTGCCACTGAGCTCCGCAATCACTGTGGTGTTCATCCTGGGGTACGTACGTATATACCCCAATTGATTTATGATCACCCAGTTCGGACAGGGAAATTTTTTTTACAAAAATACTATGGTTAATAAAATAAAAAATTTATTTCCCTCCAAATTCTAGAGTTGGGAGCAGTTCGCTGGAGTACTGTCTCCAGCGAAATCAGCTGACAGCTAGCAGTTCGCTTGAGTATTTGCCGAACCAAAAACTGGATCGTAGCTGATAAAGCACGAACTACGACAAACTTTTGGGTGATCGCCGCGACCGAAACTAAGCGACCTGCACTAAAAATATAGGTGAATCGCTGGACGCCCTTGCGATGTACACCGAATGACCTAGGTCAAAAACTTATGACGGTTATAATTTTACGTCCGGTTATTCGATCTTAATTAGGGATTTTTTTTTTCTCCGGATTACGCATGGCTTTTCGAGATAAGATAACCGAGTACAAATTTACGAAACATTGGAAGGTAAGGTGTGAATCGTGGGGGTGGGGGGGGGGGGGTTGATTAATTATCAGCAAGCTGATGTAGTTCGCTAGTGTGACCCATGTTGTTTCGAGGATGGTTCGCTTGAATCGGCCGCTATCTAGGCCCTTTGTGAGTAAATCGCTCCATTGTCGCTCGACATTGGAGCGAACTGCTCCACTTCGGAAAATATCAGCAAGTCTACCTATAGTAACCCTGCATATAATTTTTTTTTCTTCCTTCCTTTACAGATGGCAAATAAGCTGTCGACGAGGCAACCAAGTTTGGAGAGCAAAATCAAAGCGCTGAAGGAAATAGCTCCAAAGAGTGAACTCATCCCTCAAATAGAGGAAGCGCCCGTCTCCACAACAAACCCTAAACCAGCTGTAGCCAACCATCATCATCAACTTCAGCCACCTAAATCACTCAACACTCCTCCTCCACACCATCCCAACAACAAGTACAAGGATTTCGAGACGGCAGCCCACGCAGCGTTCGAGCTGTCGGCTCAGGCAGCCACCGCGGCTCGAGCTGCCATGGAGCTGTCTCGTCCGCCTGCTAGTGGCGGTTCGAGCTCGGATACCAATGGTGGTAGTAGTGGAACATTGGGGAGAAGTAGTACTGGGAAGTCGACTAGGTTTGCTGCATCTAAGGACTATGTTCCCAAGCTATTCAACAGGAGTGCTAGTGTCACAATGCTCGAGCGTCGCCCTCCAAATATTGGGAGGTGACGACGCTTCTTTTCACTATGTTTCGCCTGGTATTATGTATGTATGTATGTATGTATGTATTTTTTTTGCTACAATAAGGTGAGTTATTGCCCTAATCTCTAAAACTCGGAAACCCTAATTATCCCCACCTTCGAAGGTGGTGTTATCGCGCTCTAGCTCGAGATTTGGTGTATAGTATAAGAGAAAGAGTTTGTTTGCTACATATGGTTTTGAATATTGTCATCTCTCGAATTCATTGCATGGCGTGCAAACGAAATCGTATTGTTTGTTTAAGAGTTGTTAGATGAATCGTTCTTTAAATGAGTCATTGTATATTGTTGTTAATTTGCACTTACACATGTAATATTTTGTTGTTGTTTTTTTTTTTTTTTTGCTATTCTGATAAAAATCGACCGCTTACGCAAAATTATTTTGCAACCAACAGAACATATTATTTCAGGTAAGGGGTAATGTATAAACTAATTTTATATAATAATTTCATGTTACCTTACTTTTAACGGCTCCGAGAGTCTCGAATTTAGAGTAATTACGAAAAAGCATGGCGAGTGCCCTGCAAAGTTATGGTGTTTGTGAATGGAAAAGATGCAATATTGCTGGGTAGATGACCGGCGAGATGGATGCATCTATCTGGTTCGGTGTGCGTCAATTGTTAAAGACGGAGAAGAGAGCTCGGATGCCTGGGGAGAGAGTTGTGACTTATTCTTAAAGGTGGCAGCTCTGGTGACACGCGATGAGCAGGAGTGACGAGAGATTGATGGAGACAATGAGATGGTGACCCTCTTCGTCGTGTGTGAAATTTTGGGGAAAGAGTTTTTATATAAGGGTGAGAGAGGTTTATTTTTATTTTTATCATTAGGTGATACTTGAAAGATATGAACCTGTGATCTTCAAATTGAAGACTAGTGGTAGTACCGTTATACTAAACCCTTGTTTGCAAGAAAAAATAGAAAAAATTGCGTGGAGACAAAGCAATGCTGAGGTAAACAAATTATAGAAAGAGAAGGATAAAAGTGGGTTTATGAAAAAGAGGCAAAGACAAAATTGAAAAATCTTAGATAAATAATGAGTCATTTGGAAATGACTCGCGGAGAGAAAGAAATTTGAAAATGACTCGATAGAGTCCTTTGAGACTTTCATATGAAAGAAATGACCCAAACAAACAACCCCTTAACTTCTTTGACTCATAACAGCTTTCTAATAAATTTCGTTTTTACAATTTATTATTCATTATAGCGGATCCATCTAGAGGCGGAGCTAGAAGATTGATACAAGTGTGTTCTTTTGCGAAGGATGCCATTAGAGTGTAGGGATAAATTAGTGCGACTCTGATAACTCATAAATTATACATGTTTTCACTTTTTCTGGTACAACCTTTCCTTTGCCATTTTAGAAATATTCATTTGTTTTGGCGAGATTATGCTTGCTTTGTTTTTTAAGTGTGTTCTAGGTCATTAGGATTGAATTTGACGATATTTAGACAAGAAATGCACAAAGTATGAAAGTTTTTGAGCATTGGATGACTTGGAGCGCACTTGGAATGCATTTAAGACAACGTACGCCTATGTAGCATCACGACCATGGAGCTGGCTGTGGGAAAATTCCATCGAAATTCCAAATCCCCACGACCGCAAGGCAAACCTTGAGGAGCCCACTACCATGACACTTTCTTGGAGTTGTCACGAGGTTATTTAACGGGTCCGCTCCCTGCTCTATTATGTGGGTTTATAGTTATTGCTGCAAATGAGTCGAGTTTAGTCAAGTTTTGACCTAACTCATCCTCACTTCATTAAAAAAATAGTCAAGCTCAAAATCGGATCGATTACTAAGACCTTGTCTCAAACTCACCTCGAGTATGAATCGAGCTCGATCTCCATGAGCTCTGATCAAGCACACCTCATTTGTGATTCTAAATGGTTGAGCCCCTAACATAAACTCTAACATACCATATATTATACATGTGATTAATATATTGATAAGAAAACTAATGATATTAAATATTTGCATGACTAATTACTCTCTCGCTTATATACTATGCTGATATCATAAATTCTAACTAGCTCATATCATGTTGTTTAATAGTAATTAGTATCTAACTGACCTTTATTAAATAATTTTGCTTTAGAATGATAAATGATACATATCTGGTCATGTACTTAAAGTTAAACAATGCTTCTTACCCAAAAAAAAAAAAAGTTTAAACAATGCTATATATGTTGAGAAATATATAATCTAACAAACCTGTGAACTGTCAACAACTCAACTCATAAATTCAAGATTGGTATGTTAATAAGTCGCTAGTCGAGCTAGCTCGGTAGGCACACCATCGAGCCAGTTCATCAACTCAAGACGAGCTAGTTCGCGAGTTGAGATCAATGAGTCATCAAATCGAACTGGCTCACGAGCTTCACATATAAAACAAATCTTAATTCAATCTTGAATCGTTAATAAACGAGACAAACAAACGAGATTTTCCAAATCGAATGTCGAACCGCTCGTAAGTCACTTGACTCATTTGGCGCACTAAATATAGCAAGTATGTAAGCGGAGGGGTTTCCATATTCTAGTCAATGTGGCCAAATATCAACAATATAGTTGATGCTCCTCCTACCCTTTGTCCCTTTCTCACTAATCTCTACTTGTTGAAGAAATCTTCTTTGACGTGTACACACTAAGCAGGTGCCAAAGGGAGAGCCAAAACCGAAGCCTGCTGCCGATTGCATCCATCTTTCCACTTGCATGGCATCGGATTTCACATCACAGCACTCTCAAAGACAAGAACCTACCCCTTCTCCTTTGTCTTTTGGCCAATTCCTTTGGCACATCCGATGATATAACAACATTAACATCAACAGGTTAAACAACCGTTGCAGTTTACATTAGTTTACCACTTTTACAAATATTATTTTTATCACAATTCAAAGCTGGATGGTATGGAGATAAAAAGACCTTCCACAGAAGACACCAGAATCCAGCCAATTGGGTCATTGAAATTGCTGTCACAAATAAGCATGCTCAGGCAAACGACTGTGATGGAAGATAATGGTCACAGACCAAGTTCCTAATTGTTATTAGCCTAGACAAAATCTGAATGCCCCCCCTTATATATAACAATCAAGTAATCAATAACTTAACCTCACTAGCTAGCCTGGACAAAGGCCTGAAGTTTTGACCAGACACCATAAGCAAAACAAGGAACAGAGGGAGACATGGGTAGAAAACTGGATGCTCTTCTGGGGAGAAACTTCAGAGCCTGCAAATTGAAGGTTGTAACAAACCTTGCTGTCTCAAGGATCACCATCCTCAGAAAGCAGAGGCAAGCTCGGTATTCACAGGCCAAGTCCGATGTGGTCGACATCCTGAAACTTCAACAACACGAAAGAGCACTCATTCGCGTAACCTTCATTCCCTTATTGGAAATTGCCTCCACATCAGGATCTTAGTTTCACCATTTTTCCTTTTCCCACTTTGCAGGTAGAGTTTGTGGTGAAGGATCGAAACATGCTCGATGCGCTTGACATGATGGAGAACTACTGCAGGTTCCTGATAGAGAGAGTCATGCTTCTTGAGAAGAACAAGTTGGGACTCAAACTTGCTTGTTTGTTTAATGAATTCACGTTTGCTGATTTCCCACATGTTCCGACTGGGTCACTAATTTATGATCACCTTGTTTCTGTTTGTGAAGAGAATGCCCAGATGAGCTGAAGGAGACAATCTCAAGCTTGATCTTTGCATCTTCGAGGTGTGCAGAGTTCCCTGAACTGCAAGAGATTCGTGGCATCTTCCAACTGCGATTCGGGAAGGAATTCATTGCTCGAGCCATCGAGCTGCGCAACAACTGTGGAGTAAATCCAAAGGTATGTAGTAAAAGAGGTACCAGAAAGATGGTTACGAAGCATTTACTTAAACAACAATTCTGAAACAACTCTTCTCTTTATTGGCTAAGATCATCCAGAAGCTCTCAGCAAGGCAGACAACCTTGGAAAGCAGGATTGAATTGTTGAGAAGCATTGCTTCTGAGGTCCATCTCACCCTCGATTTGAAACTCCATGATCATCTACCACATGCAGCTGAGATAATGAGAAAGGACATCGCCGATAATCATCAAATGAAGCAAGAAAATTCAATCCCAGATGAAGAGCTTTCGTCTGAGCCGTTAAGAGCAAGAAACAAGTATACAGATGTAGCAGCTGCTGCACAGGAAGCTTTCGAATCAGCAGCTTATGCAGTCACAGCTGCTAGAGCTGCAATCGAGCTCTCGAGATCCAGATCTCACCACTACTACCAAGATGATCACGACACTAGCAGCTCAGAATCGGAAAGTGATGAAAAAAGCACCAAGCTTGATTCTGCTACCAATGGAAAAGTTGCAGAGTCACCCACAACCATGGATAAACAAATTGTTTTATATGAGGCCTACGAGGAAGAAGAGGTTGAAAATAATCAGGAGCTACATGGGAACATACCAGCAGTACTAGAGCACCATAACTTGGACCAAGAAAGTGGAGAAACCCTAAACTGGGATGGGCTAAAAGTTTCATCAGATATACACTCAAGCAATTTGGAAAAGCAGTTACACGTTCCCCTATCTAGGAGAGTGAGGAAGAACTCACATTAATAAAACACAATCCTTGAAGGAGAGGGATTCTTCTTTTTTCCTTATTTCTGTTTTCTTTTTCTAGCTTCTATAGTCTAAAGATCCAGTAGCTGTCAAGAAAGAGGGCAAATAAAAATTATCAACTAAGATGAGAACTTGACCAATTCTCCATTACATGGATTACTCTCTTTTCTAATCAATACCATACTAGCTTGGACCCTGCCCTTTGGCCAGGTAATTATTTTTTTCATTGGAAACAGACTAATCTGCTTCAAAGAGAAACTGAAAAGTGCAGCTGATCCATGAGTGGACTCCAGAGTCTCTCATTAGTCATTCTAACATACACAAAGAGGGAAACCCACCTTGCACCCGAATCGACAAGCATTCAACTTCTACATCCGGATGCCAAAGAACAGGATTCTACGTTGGCCCTCATCAGATGCTCCAGGTTCAAAGTACAGAAGCTACTAGTATAAGCAGCAAGCAGAATATAAAGCAAGCAGAGTATGCCAACACTATCAGCCTAACATTAACCTTTTTCATTTCATGATCATAGTTCAGTTGCTCTTTCGGCATTAATATAAACCAGTCAATACCAGACCGTATACTGTTGAAATCTCAAAAATGAACATAGGATGACAAAAGAATGAACATAAAACTGCTTTACAACATCAATGCGAAAACTTACAAGCAAGCCGCTTTAAGCACTGCCTTCGCTAGGTAACTTCGACGTGTTGTTACACCAAACCTTTTCTCCTAACCAAAAGGTTCCTTAGCCAAGTTCCATCTTTTTCCTCTGTGTCAACCTCAGTATTGATGTATGGTTGTGTGGCTGGCTGAGAGCAATATCCATCTGGTTTACATGTAACCCGAATTAGAACTCACTATGAGCTTTTGTTGGTGGTGGCTTTCCCCTTGCTGATTAAATCAGCAAGCTGGTTTAGAAGGATGGCCATCTGCTTATGTGAAATCCACGGCTTGCTCTCCAGCAACTTCTGAAGCTCCACCAAGGCATCTTGATGTGGCCAAAAATGGTAAGGCGTTAGAGGAATGGTGCCCTGCCTTGGTATCACTTGGTCCAACGCCACACCAATCACATCCTCCATCCACAGAAACTTCAATACTATTCTTGGTTTCTCCATTGGCTTCACCACCACCCTCAGCTTCTGTCAAATTGCAGCAGAAGATTGGCACAAAAGCAGTTAACAAAGGAGAAGAAGTGTCCCCAGTTGCATTTCATGGAAACCATTGTGGCCAATTTATTTACCTCTTTAAGCAACGGGGCGTCTTGTTGAGAAAGAACCGGTTCAGCTGCCGACGCAGAAAGCCTCAATTTTACTGAGACGGAAGAAAAGATGGAGGGTTTAAGAAAGAGGGTTTCTCTGTTTTGGTGTTGCGAAGAAGAAGAAGAAGGGAATTGGGATAAGGGTTTGACAGAAATGTCTCTGGAATTCAGCTCCATGGCCATGGATGGATGCTATAATGATAATCTGGTCGGGTGGGTTTGTGAATTGTGATTTCGTATTCTCTACTGGGAACAGGATTACACCACTTCAGAGTTCAGACACCATGGACAATTGGACATATAGGAAATTGATTTAATCAGAACGGGCAACGGGGGAAGGACCAAATTGGTACATTTGTAATTATCACGGTTTCCCATCAGACACGTCTACACTCTACATCAAGGTTGTGCAACCGGTTATTACCGTTGCACCGATTTAGCAAGTGGAATGGTTCTACCGGTGACACAATCGGTTTGTGCCGGTTCATATCGGTTTAACAAAATATGTAAAAATGTGAAAAATCATTAACACCAACATTTAAATACGACATTTAACATGAATAAGTGTTTATACTTGAATCTAACAAATAACATCAACATTTAACTTTTAAATTCATAAAATAAATTATAAATTATTTTTTAATTACTTGAATTCATTAAAACGACGTCATTTTACTTAAAAGTGTTACATCGATCATGTCGATCATACCAGTGGTGTTCATGTCGGTTTCATGACGATACCGGTTGAACCAAGTTCAACCATTGCCGATCATACCGGTGGTGTGACAACCATGCTCTACATATATTGTAACAGGTACAAAATTCACAAAAATAAAACCAAAAGCATAGGTTTGTATACTAAAACTTTGACTTATGTTTAACATGAGTTCGACTTATCAATGAGCTAACGAGCTTTACTCAATTTCAGCTCATCAATTAGCTCGCGAAATTGGATTGATCTAAGGTATCTTATCATCTCTTTCATAATTTTTATTTGTTCATATCATGTTATCTAATAATAACTACTATTTGAGTAATCTATGATGCATAATTTCTTTTTTAAATTATAATAAATGAGACATATTTTATAATGTTATCAAATTCTTAATGAAATATATCTAATAGCCCTATCAATTATCAACAAGCCAAAAATAAGCTAGAAGCCAATTCGCTCATAAGTTGCTAATTGAGCTAGCCATACTATCGAGCTAGCTCCATTAACTCAAAACGAGCTAGCTCACGAATTGAGTTCAAAAGGTCATCTTGGTCATCAAGTTGAGCAGGTTCACAAGCCTTGCAAGCCAAACAATGCTTAGCTCAAACTCGACTCATTAGTAAATGAGCCGAATATTAGACGAGTTTATCCTCAGCCGAACGCCAAACTTATTGTGAGCAGCTTGACTCATTTGCAGTTCTTCCACAAACGGTTGGTTGAACGAATGAACTTCAGTGCCATACAATAAACCACCAGGCTTAAGACCATGCTTCCACATGGTATTTACCATCCCTCTCCAGCCTCCTTATCAGCACTGCAGCTGCTTCTCTCGCCACTCCACCCTCTTTCGATATGATTTCTTCCACAGCCAGCATCACATCAGAAGGCATGTTCGTGGAAGAGCCTGCAACGTAGATGGCAGCGCCGCCTTCTGACAGCGCTGCCCATATTTTCTGGCTCTGTTCCCGCATCTTGTGCTGCACGTAAACTTTCTGAGGCTGGTCTCTCGAGAATGCAACGTAGAAACCTCCACCTCTTGCTTCAGAGAGCAATCCACCGTCATGCGAGTGAGATAGCCACAAGTCCCTGTATAAGAAGTCATCGCCTTCATTTCTGCAGCCAAAGAAGAACATGATGGGAGCAGCTGAGCTGGACGTATCTTGTGCAGCTCGCTCTGCTAGAAAGCCACGGAAAGGCGCACAGCCTGTGCCAGGGCCGATGAGGATAAGTGGAAGTGATGGTGGCGGTGCAGGGAGAGAACCCTTGTGAAACCATGCTGGAATGGTTACACCTGTTGATTAAATATAAAAGTTAAGAAGTTGAAGCAAGACAGCAACAGGTGTAAACCTGTTCAATCATGTGGTTCTGGCAGTCTTACCTTGTAGAGGATCAAGACTAGCTAACCATGATGAACAAAGACCCATCCTTTTTCTTTTAAAAGGTGTCGTCCATGAGACTACACTCACTGTCAAGTGGACTTGGTTGGGATGGGCTGAAGGAGAAGAAGCAATGGAGAAAGCCCGTTTTCTCAATGGTGGAACCAACTCTACCAGCCATTCAAATGGCATTTGCACAGAAGGGAAATCCTCTAGAACCTGCACGTAAGAAGATAGAAACTTTCAACGCCTTGCAACTCTAGATTTCAGAAGCCAGACTTCGCATATCATGCTTCACAAACAGGAAAACAAGTAGCTGTAATAGAAGGATGAAGCAATGATAGATAACTAAAAGTGTCCTGTTTAACTAGGTGTTGTGTATTGCATTTTACTCCCAGTAAGTTACTGCCCGTTTGGGGTGTCAGATCCAAGCATCTTATAAAGTATTTGCTGGGATTATCGTGCTTCAATTTTTTAAACTTGAAGTGCAGAACTGGTATAACAGACTTATAAGCATGATTGCAACAACTGCAGTCAACCAAAATTATATTCAATTCAACTTTAGTGTCTTCTAAAACATGGAAACGTCATTTTTGCCACATGGAACATGCCAAGATGCAGTATATTTTCCCTCTAATTGACAAGACTATCAATGCAAATGAATCAGTAAGCTAAGAATTGAGGGTGAAACCAGAACACAACCATAATACAGAATTACATTAACTCAAAAGGTTTACCTCCAAAACAGTCCTCCTTTCCTTCTGGTTGTATTGGTACAAATCATCTCTACCTTCAGGTGATACGAAATACTCGAGTCGCTCCTTTTCATGTTCTGCAGTTGCAAAGTAGCTCATAACCTACAAAGGATAGTAAAAAGTAATTCATCACTTGTTTACTAACTGTTAGAAAGACACATGAGAACACATTAACTCCATAACAAACTTCTGTGTCAAGCCCTCATGTAGTATTAAAGGAACATATCAACATCTTGTACAACAATTTGCAGTGGGGGGGGCTGTTAGAGAAGAATTCAACAGCCAGAGGTACTAGCACATTTTCATAAAATTTAGCTTTCCGCAAAGGGGCTGAACGAAAACGACAATGGTAAATAAGTAGTCTGCATGAGAAATGCACAAAAGAAAAAGAATAGTTAAGGTCCTCGCCTCAAAGAAATAGCGCCTAGGTGAAGCTGAGGTGACATCCATAGCCAGTTCAACATATTTTTTTAAATTTATGGGCAATGCTTGCCCACTTTTGGAGCCATCTAGAAGGTGGTGGCTTCCCCGCTGCTTGGGGCACACCTACAGGGAAAAGAAATTGCAAATTATTAAAGCGGAATGGAGAAAAGAAGAAAAAATAACTTAATATAATGTCGGCCAAGTTATTTAAGCATCCTACACTCAAAGAAGCGAAGACAAACAAACAAGTGAAACATTATGTATCGACCAAAGAATGGAACATGGAAGAGAGAGAGAAACGACACTAATGAAATGGACCAGCAGCTTGGGTGCTAAGTACTTTCAGCACAATACATGCCATAGACACAGAAACTTCCCCATTGGAATAATAGAAGTGCCAGTGCCAGTGCCAGTGCCAGTGTCAGTGCCAGTGCCAATCTAAGAATAATAACTATTACTCACAGTGATAAATGCTTCAGGGTCCAAATTGCAGCGCTGTATGAACGCATCAACTAAATCAGGGTTTTGACTGGGGAGAACTTCAAGGACATCACCGACGTCATAGCTAATTGTCTACAAAGTTCAAAACATAAACAATATAAAAAATTTGACAGATTCAGCTGAAGTGCTAGACAAGGGCCTGAGAGATAAAGTGGAAGAGAAGTCAAACTGAAAACTTACCGATGGAAAAAATTCAAACTCGAAATGCCGCACATCTCTCCCACATCCTTTCCTAGTTAGTGGCTCATTTCTGACCTACATGAGCATGCACAGTTACTCAGATAAAGAACCACAATAGAAGCGGTGGCAATGGAACTACAAAAAGGAGAGACCAGAGCAAAAAACCACTTTCTGTTGCAAGAAATCGTCTGCAAACACAAGCCGAATATCTCTGAAATTAATTTAACCATAATACCCAGGTTACCTTCTTACTATTCTATATGAGTGCACCTTCGTATTCTTTTGATGACTAAACAACACCATCAATGCTCTTTTTTGTCATCATTCAACATATTGAAATATATATTATACTTTTCCTCATAGTTTCCACAACAGTCTCAGAGTACCATAACCTCTTCACAGGATACAAGAGTAACTACATTTCAAGGGTCCAAAAATATAAAAGTTAGTGGTTTCACTATTTTTGGATACATAACATCTACTCTTTAAATTAGGGAAGTGTATACCGCAAATAAAAAAGGTGTACCAAAACCTATCAAGTTGCAAAAGGAGAATATAGTGAATAACTCCCAGAATAGTACTATTAAGCAATGATGTGGAAGTGCATACTGCAGCATCTAACATTTTAACAATATTGAAGCATACCCTATTACTAACCCCTACCATTTTAAGAAAAGCATCAGGAGTACTCTTGTCATAAGAAAGTTTTGCAGGAGACATCGAGCGAGCCCTCTCAATCTCCATTGCAGGACTTTTTGAATCTGAAACAACCACCAGTGACAGAGCAGTGAGGAAAGTCTCAGAAAATTGAGTCTTTTTGAATAAACAAGAAACAGTAATCGCTGATTAATTCCTCCACAAAATCAACTTGTGCAAGCAGTTACAGCTTCAAGCACTCAAGTATTCTGGCAATGAAGAAACTACAACAGCAAATATATTTTAAAGTTGACATCTATAGCACCATAAATCACGTCAGTAAAAGCAACAATAATAGGATGCAGGCTGTATCGCCAGGTGAACAGGGCAAATCTATAAACACAAGGAACTAGCAGCTTAGTTAAGCTTAATTAAAATAACATTGGCACCTAGCTCGATGCTAACAGTCTACCAAATAAAGGAAGGATAATTTTCATCCCAGCGAAAGAAAAAAAAAGAGAAATTCTAATTGATTCAATCACCTGTTACTGACAGCCCAGCCTGCAGCAGGCCTAGTTCATGGTAGACAATTTGGTATTTGGGTTGATCAAGCAATTGTGATGTCGGAGGGATATAATCAGGGCCATGCGGAAAGAAAGTTGGATTAATTTGATACAGGACACGCCACAAGGATGTCATCCATGGGTCCAAAGCACCTTCATACCTGGAAATAAGTCAGCATTCACTATTCAGAATACGTTGGAAAAAAGTGGAGACAAAAACCAGAATCAAATCTTATTATATAATCCATGCGAACCTATTCGGTACAAAATGACTGCTCATAGAGGTACTAAACGAGAAAACTGCTTCTGTTCAAGTTAAAGTCCAAACATCTTCAATGTTCTATGGACGAAATGATGGATTAGGAAGTCAATCAACATCTGAAATACAAAAGTCCCAACAGTTCACTTTTGAAGAAAAAGGTTTGCACTGTACATTAGTATACCCTGAAGGATGTTGGTCATCTCCGAGACCTCTCTCAACAATAGCACTTGCCCCAAGATCATGAAGCCTCCTGTCCAGCTTCTTTGCAACAAACTGCAGCAATAGCACCGAAACAGTTTTCAGTTAACTACTACACAGTATCTAGATTTCAGTGAAGTACAAAGTTCGGTCCTCAAGAGGATTTATAACTCAATCCTCAAACCTTGTACAAGTTCTTTGCTGTTACCGATATTGTTAATATTAGTTACCCATTGCAAGTTAAACAAACCTCACCACGATTATTTATCTATCAATTCACAGTGCATTTCACCCCAGATTTGTATCATTTGGGAAATAAATTTACCGCGACACAGATTCACCCGAACTTGAGTAGCCAATGTGATTACCGCGCATTTCTTCGACACTATATAAAGAGAGATATTATCCAACACTGTTGAAAGATTTAGAAGATTACATTGAACTTCTGGTAACCAGAATCTCCCAATCCAAAGACAGCATAGTGAACTCCTTCCAGCCAAGACTTTGGAAGATTTTTCTGCAGCAGATACTTCCAAAAAACCTACATGTATTGAACATAGAAGGATATCAGTAAGAACTACAGACCCAGATGATCACAGTAAATACAACAAACAAGAGGATTCATTCAGTTCAGAGTAACCTTCATCGCATCGGGTGCATCTCCCTGCCCTGTTGTAGAGACAACAAAGATTACGGTCTTCTCCAAGGTTAATGAATTCTGCAATGTAGGAAAATGTACGCACTTTAAAGTACTGGTTTTACAAAGATTCTTGATGACAAGAAGACGGAAGATGATGGATAACAACCTATTGTTCATTCTACGGTTTCAGCTAACAAGCAGAAACATGCTATCCTCAATATTATCACAGGCAGAAATTCAGGAAATTAGTACATTCGAGCAATTTCCTGAAACCTTCAATTGGATCAATTCCTACTTCTTCTCTCTGCATTTCACAAAACACAAAGCAAACTGCCATTCAGGGTAACAAAGTAGACCACAAGCATGATGCATAGACTGGTCTCCTTTACTTCACCACAGTTCCACCATAAGACTAACTAGATTCTAGCTGGCACAAAACCCTTTTAGAGCAAAACCTAAGTGACTTTCCAGATAGCAGCGCGGCTGTTCCTCCCACTTTCTGGCATAGCAAATACAGACCTCAAACAAGAGAGGATTCGCAGAATAATTTTCCCTCACCTTGCCTCCTAAATAAGAAAATTACAAAGAAAAGAGAGAAAGCTAAGCAAAAGGAAGAGACTTTGGTGGAGAACTTACCGCGTCAAACTCGTCCATGGAACTCAGGATGACGGGGCAGCCTCTACGTTCAGCCTCGCGGCCAACACGCTCTGCGGCGTCGAGGGCATTCCCAGTTTGACTAGCATAGAGTACCAAGAGAGGCTTTCTCGATTTCTCTCCCATGATTATGATGAAATTCGGCTATCAATTGGGATAAATTTTGCGCCTTTCTGCTATTGCTATGCTACGATTCTACGAGCCAGAACCAGAACTGCTCCAAACTCCAAATCGGCAAAGTCCCTCTTGACTCCTTCCTTCTCCGTTGGAGATTCTGCCAAATCAGGTCCGGCTAGTTAGGTCCCTCTATCTTCTCACCTGTCCCTGCAATATCCTGCCAAACTTCCTGTCTCCAGTCTCCACAATTAGACCTAGATTTTCGAAGTTCAAAGAAGACAGGAGAAAGTAACAGGATTTTAGAGATATGAGCATAACCAGTTTACTTGTCAATTTGTCATTCAGTTTTCTACTAGACCACAACAACAAAAAATTAAAGTACAACGAAACTGTTTTGTTTAGTTGGGAATATTGATGAATTCTTAAACTGAATTTTGAAAAATAATAATATATTTAGTTACTTCATACGATTTTATGATACTTGATTATCACATTTTGTTTATTGGGTATCATATAATCCTAACCATGATTATAATTTTTAATACGAATCACGTAGTATTTAAACTACTAATAAACATAATACAATCACAACGTATTATTACAACATCAAATATCAAATAAGTCCAGGTTGAAAGCATGGTAAAGGAAACCGTACCGGACATCATACCGGATTCCTTTCTGGTATGGTATTTTGTGGTACGACCGTGGTTCAACCATTTTGTACCGGTAAATACCGTTTTTCACTATTGATAGAGAAATGAAATGCGATAGTATAAAAAATATAATCCATCAAAAAAAGAACCAAATAAAGCATTATACAACCACGGTGACCCATTTTCAACATAGAAAAATAGCAAAATAATATTATTTTTTAATTATTTTCCACATATTGAACGAGAATACGGAGAATGAAGCCGAATCATAGACCAGGAAACCGGATCGTACCGGCCGGTTCAACCGGTTCAACCGGTCAAACCGAAAAACCGGCCGACACGGTAAAATCAGCACAATCAGCCCACCGTGCCGCTTTTGGTCCAATTTCCGGTTAAACCGGTTGAACCGGCCGGTACGATCCGGTTTCCTGGTCTATGGTTGAAAGTCATTCCACCACTTGTTTGCTATTTCATCACAACATACATCATTGCTCGAGTTTGGCTTGAATTGATATCGTACGCTTCTCTTTCTTGTTCTCCTTGCACTCCATTGAAGGACATATGCTAGTAAATTTCGTACGAATTCATAGTGAACTTATTTTCCAACGTATATTCATCATTGTTTCTCATCAATAACAAAAAAAAACCCTTCTCGTAGACTTTAGGGTCGTGAAATTCCAAAACGATGGTCTCACTCATGTTCATACGTCGGTCTTTTTAGTGCGTAGCACAAGACAAGATAAGCGTATCAACTGATAGTGACAAATTCATCTTAGTTTAAATACCAGACAATGAAATATATCCAAAAGAAACTAGAGTAGTAGAAAATTTTATGATGATGTGGGCTACCTACTCTAAGAACTAGGGGTGGAAGTTTGGTTTGCAGTTTTTGGATCACCCGCAAACCGCACCAACCCGCACAAAGAAAGTTTGATGATTCTAAAGCTGATTCCTTACTCATCCAATCTCTCAACAAGAAATTTGGGTTGCTTTGAGTTCTATTGATGGATGGAGAGCTCTTGGGCCGGATGGTTTCTCCTTTGAGATTTATAAGAAGTGTTGGCAAAGGCTGGAAAAGTATATCATGGATGCATTCAATGAGTTTCATTCTACGGGGTGTTTTCCTAAATGTATTGCTCATTCTTTCATCTACTTAACTCCGAAGTAGGATGTTGTGGAATACGTTTGTGACCTCCGACCCATTAGTCTAATGGCCAGTTTTAACAAGCTCATGATTAAGGCCTTAATGACAATGTTGATGTCGAAGCTAGTCTATGATAACCAACAGGCGTCGGTGTTAGTAAACGGTATATGATCCACGATTGGACTTCTCCCAACAACTCGAGTTATTGAGATCAGGTTCTTGACATGGTATCAGAGCCTAATGGACAACAAAAGGAAGAATATAAAGTCAAGGTTGATGTTCAAGCTTAATCTAGAAAAGACCTTCAATAGCGTTAATTCGAACTGCATGTTCAATATCATCCTGAGTCTAGGATTCCCTCTTAAGTGGCAGCAAAGGATCCTTGAATTCATGATTTCTTCGATCATTTTCATTCTCATTAATGGTGAATCAAAATGTTTTCCCCTAGTGTTTGACCCGGGAATGTTCCCAAGGCTAACATAGTAATTATGGGGTTCCAATTTGGACTCCCTCGTCTAATCTCCTCGGGAGTGGAATAACCTGTGGAGAGGAGGGGGTGGCCCTCGTGATCTACGCTCCGACGTCGAAGTTAGTACGGTATAGGAATAGTGTATAGGCAAAATAGAGAGATATTAGAGATAGAGACCTTAAAGTAAGAGTGTGGGAAGGGAGAAGGCTTTTGGCTTGGAGGGTTTGGGCCTTCTTGAGTGGGCTTGGGCCCAGGAGGCCTTGCGGTGGGCTTGAGCCCATTAATAGTTGTTTGTCGAATTCGGCAGATTAATCCATATCCCAACACCTAGTTATAAAGGTATGTGTATAGGTGATATGCAATCACTTGGGCTATTTGTCTTGGTTATGGATAACTTCTCCTTCATGCTGGCCAAACTCAAGGAAGAAGGGAGGATTTCATGCTTATTTTTGTATGGATGAGAGGAACCCTTGTGGAGAGGTTACTCACTTGATTTTCGCTGATAATACTCTTATTTTTGTGATTCTTCTCACGAGCAAGTTTTGAATCTGTTGACTACTATTGTCTGCACTAAAGTGGTCACCAGGCTGAAATAAACCTTTATTAGGTTGTAATGTACACGGTTGATGATGTCCCATAACCTAGGTTCTTTGGTGACATTTTTTGGTTGAAAATTATCTATCTCAGTATCTTAGTTTCCCCTTGAAACACGGCCCAATGCAGTTTAAAACATGGGACCCAGTTGTCCCAAAATTTTAGAAACAACTTGAAGGATGGAAGAGTTAGTTTATGTTCTTTGGAGGTAGACTCGTCATCCTCAATAGTATTTGTCTTTCTAGACATCTCATCTTCGAGTGTTCCCTTCTTCGTGCTCCTAAAATTATGGTCAATCGGGTCGATCAAATTCATAGGCATTTTCTTTGGAGTGGAACTAGTGCCTCTGGTAAAGAGTACCTTGTGAGATGGGACATTGCAAAGCTCCAAAAAGGAAAGGAGGTCTTAGAATAATCGACGTCGAAGCCTTCAATAAATCTCTCTTGGGAATATTGATTTGGAAATTTTCTAATGGCAAGGGGAGTTGGTGGACGAACCTAATTGAGATTAAGTATCATAATGACCTTTCATCCTGGTACATTGGTCGGCTAAGATATAAATTTTCTACCTTAGTTTGGGCCAACATATCTAAGAAACATGATGACGTCTGGAAATTAGCCTAAGTTGATCCTAGAGAGGTGTTTGGGTGTTGTTCTGGCATGATTAAAGAATTTCAGGTGTGGTGCTCGCTGATACTTTTCCTTGTGTTGCTACAGCAGCTGCTAGCCCTGAAGTTTGGATCACCAACATTGCGTCCGTTACTGATCAGGGTGTGAATTGGGGTTTGAATATGTCTTTATCTTTGGGGAGGGGGCTGAGAGAAAAAGGGTATCGTTGTTGGATAGGCTTAATTCAATAGGTGCGAGCTGTTTGATTTTTAATCTGAATAGGATGAAACTGCGGGTTAATTATATTAGCATGAAAGTTCTCAAATTATCAACGAAAGTTCTCAAATTTATCATCTTACACTTGAGACTTGAATCAATTTTGGTTCTCAAATATAATGTATGAATGACATATGCCAAGTGAAATGTCTATTTCTTAAGAAGATTGAATTGTATAAACCAAACAAAAGTTTATATTTGATTCAAAATATCACATTTGAAACAAGCATAAAAAAGATAAATTGATTTTTTTAAAACAATTCCATCCGGAAAGATAAAGGAAAAATGAAATAAACCGTTAAAAGGTCGATGTAGTGTTGTGAGTAGTGCAGAAGTAGTGAATAGTTTTTGCTGTAAAATTTGTAGCAGAATAGGGAGTCAGTATTATTAAAGTACTGCTGTTAGCGATTGTATTTTTCGTGAAGCTTGTTTATCAAGCACGAGCTAATAAAAGAGACGACAACAATTACCGGGGGAAAAAAACAGAAAAGGGTCTAAGATAAAAAAAAAAGGTGAGAATAGAACTCGCGGAGAGGTGCTTTGGTGGGGATTTTTATGTGGAAAAACAACATATATAGTCATTAGAAATAATTGACATAATATATACTATTTGGATTAGTAACAACTGTTATTACTTATTAGTAAAAGTGGTGATATAACTAATTATCCAAAAACAATAATACTCCCAACGAAACTTTCAAAGTAGAAGGACAAAAAATCAGCAAGGAGAAATAATCGTGCTTTACTTATGCGGGTAGCGGAAAGTAAAAAATAATAATAAGAAGAAATGAACAAACGAGCTGGAGGAAGAAAATAATTTAATAAAATTATCTCTTTATGATCGAGATTACGCCATTACGGGGAAGCCTAATATATATTTTAATAAAAAAAAGATAGTAGTAAATGAAGAGAATCATAACGGCAGAGAAACTTACGGATGCTTATTAGGAAATAGTTGCAAAATGAGATGGGGCCATTATTATTAATTAAATCAATGTAAGGCAAAGGAGAGGAACATAAAAAGAGTGACCAAATCACAGAACACGAAATTAGGAAGTCGAGAGAGAGAAGCGAGACGACGCCGGCGGCGGCGGCGAGAAAGAAAGGGCGAGGGGGAGAAGATCGATCGGCGGCGCCATATTGGTCTAATTTTGGGAACTGTGAGGTAATTAATTAGTAAGTTCGGGTATCAGAATGAATGATTTGTGCTAAAACGCTCATAATTGTCTGCATAATTGTGCTAATTGTATTTGAAATTTTTTCCAGGTGTTGAACCAAATTTAGTGTAGAAGTAGATAAAAAATGACACACAAAAGGGCAGCAGCAAATGGACCGAGTAATCAACGGCAGAAGAATCACGTTAATGGAGGATCATCGTATAATTCTTATATGGTACGACCATATCAAGGTTTCTTCGAGGTGATTGGAAGGGCGGCTGTTGAAGGCACCACAATGGTAATATCTCGAAACTCCTTAACATAAAATTAAACTCAAAGTCTTTTTCAAATGCGTTGAGTATTTAGCTCTATCGTTTCGTGTTAAAAAAAAATGCCTCGTTTTGGCCATAAGCAGTGGACATGGTGTGCGTCTCGAGTAGGTTGTGGGTCCGGCGGCACTTAGTCACAACTGAGTTGCGCCTCGAAACGATGTTATGGTGTACTTCTTTTCTACCTCGTGATATGCTACTACTAAGTTAGAGAGAAATCATGACCATCCTCCATTTTTCTTTTTACCATCTTTAAATTAGCTTTTTTTTCCCTGCTTCTTCTCTCTCAATCTACTCAGTCAGATATTTTCTAGATTCTCCTTCCTTTTCTCATTTCTCTACACTATGTTTTACACTCTACTATGTGTTGTTGATAAGTGTTTAGAAGTGATGAGAGGTAAACCAGATGATATTAGTTCTTAACATTGTGATTCTAAACAAGTATGAGATATTATATTACGTTTACATCCAACCAACGCTTTGACACATTTAAATAATGCTTAAGCATATGTTAGGTTCTAGGCAGCGGGGGCCGCCCCCGGGCCACGGTCAAGCCCTCCCCTGGATCTCGAGCTGGTATAGCACATGTAATTTTTGATTTTTGGTATTCGTTTGAGTTTTTTTTTCACGTTACGGCGGACCCACCCCTCTCCGCCTTTTTTTTCCAAATGTGACCCATTGCTCTATCCCGTCCGTCCTGAATCCGCCGCTGGTTCTAGGCAGACGGAGTTTCAACGCCTAACACTTTCTTGGAACCTTTGAATACCAGATGCTTCCAGAAGATTTCGTGAGAAAATACGGCGACGAGCTCTCAGACACCGCCAAGATCTCCGTCCCCCATGGCTGCTGCATCTGGAAGCTCGGATTCAAAAAGAGAAACAACAACGTCTGGTTCGACGATGGATGGCAGGAGTTTCTTCGATACCACTCCATCAAATACGGATACTATTTAGCATTCACGTACAAGGGCATGTCACATTTCAAGGTCAGAATCTACAAGGTCGATGGCTGCGAGATTTCATACTCCAATGATGATGACGAAGAAGAAGAAGATGACCCAATTATGATGAACCAACATGTCGATCATCGCGTTTTAGAGACAGAAGAAGAAGATGATGACGACGACGACGATGATGATGATAACGATTCTATTGAGGTTGTGGAGACCAGAAGGGGTTCTTCCAGCAAGCGGAAAACGCCATCGTCGCCGCCGCGGCAGAAGCAGCTGCCGCCGGTGCTATGTAACAGCTCTGGTTCTTTGAGTGCGGAAGCGAGCAAGTCGCAGAGGAGGAGCAAGAAGGGGAAGAGGAGGAGCCATCATCATCATCATCGTCATGGGAATGAAGATGATGTGGTTGTTGATGATGAACACGACCTGAAGCACGCCAGGTTTGCAGAGAAAGAAGCTCGTGTTACTGGTAAGATTCCCGTTTATGAAAGTATATATGTGGATCTCGAGAAATAATACGTGTATTTGGAATGAACCGAATATCGTATCGAATATGTTGAGATTCAGTATTACTAAAAAATACACGTATTATTTCTCGAGATTGAGATTGAGATTGCATTTCTAAGTGTTATTTGGTATCAGGCATTACGGGATTGTGATCGGTATATAGCTCATACCAAACTCGTTTTGTTACTTGTAGTATGTTTATAATTAGTTGCTTATTCCTCCCCTTGTTTCTGTTTGTTACTTGACATGTTTCAGTATCTTATTAGGCAAAAAAAACCTCTAGGCGAGGCGTTTTGCCATTGCCGTCTTTTTGAACCATGCCGATACCTAACAAAATATCGAATATATTTTGGGATTGAGATTGGGATTGAGACTGAATTGAAAACACCGATTGATGTTGGAGATTTCGATACTATACTGATTTTGACCCCTAACTAGCACACATCGTCCATCCCATATCCAATTAATGTCTGAGTTTATTAATGTTTGAGTTTATTATTATGTTGTAATTACGCAGAGGAGAACATGTTGCTTCTGAAGCGCCTAGGAGAAGAAGGGATCATCACCAACGAGAGATTCCTGAGCAGCTTGTGTGAGATGTCGCGGACGAGCAGGAAGGCAGTGCACGAAGCAATCATGATGAAGCCCAGACACCCTTGTTTCTTGGTCTTCATGAAGCCGATCAATATATTTCAAACCAGAGTTGTGAGTTTGTCATTTCTTACCTTGATCGTTAGTTTTACATTGGAAATATATTTTACGGTTCAGAAAGGCGTTAGGCGCTAAACAAGTGTTGGGCGTACTATATATCTAGCGTCTAGCATGCGCTTAAGCATTGCCTAGGCGACAACTAGGCGTTTTAATTAGTTTAGCAAAAATAGCGGTTTTTGGTTTAGTTCAACTTCAAATGATTAATAATTTAGCTAACCCGCAACAACAATCAAAATATGTCATAACCTAGAATTGAAATTCCAAACCGAGGAATAAGTGAAGAATGCGTTGAATATAGGAGAGCTGGAGACGACGTTGTTTTCGAAAGATTAGCTACAGATCTTTTAATCTTCGGTCTGCTAGTGCAATTAAGCATGCCTCACCTAGATTAATCATGTCTCATACTGATAAATCGTGTCTAGCTTTGATTAAGTATAAGCTCAATCGTTATGAACGCTTGATTGTTAACCTAGGGCGCGTTTTTGTCACTTGGGAATTACGCATTTTTAAACCTAGATAGAACTCACCATCAAATGGTGTGAAACTTTATTTTTTTAATTGATTTTTCGGCATGCAATGCAGTACATCCCGGCGAAGTTCATGAAGAAGCACATGAGCTCGCCGCCGGAGACTATAAGGATCATTCAGCCGCCGCAGTTGGACGGAATGTCGACGGAAGAGCAGCAGGAACAAGGTGGCGGCTGGACGATCCACGTGTCGGTGCAAGATCGCGGCGGGTTGACGTTGACGAAAGGGCTGGTGGAATTCGTGAGGGAAAGTCGTATAAGAATGGGGGACATCTGCGTTTTCGAGCTCATTTCGTCGTTCCCATTTGTGTTCAAAGTTTCAATATTGCGTGGTGGATCTGCTGCTGAGTAAGTAGCTAGTAAGCTCTCTTTCATTTATGAACAATTCACTCTCTAGGAATGAATGAATGGAAGGATTGATTGATTGATCTCTACTATTATGGTCATACTAGCTAGCTTCTCAGATCCTGGACAATGCGGATTTGAGCTATTGGGAAGCATATTATAAAGGGTAGGTTGGTCGCAAATGATGGATGGACGGATTTTGTAAGTATGTGACTGTTCGGTCGTTAATTAGGGTTTTTTTTATCTTAGTTTGACTTGTGTTTTCATGGGAAACTTTTTCATGCTTGTTGAATGTTTGTTACTCAAGTGGCTTGGCATGAGAGGAAATTTATTTTTCCTTTTTTTTTTCACAATCTCCCTTTTTAATGAGCATATGAGTTGTATATTTCATAAAATGGGAGTGCAAGGACCATAACTCATACAAGTCAATTACAGGTATAAGATGTTAGTCTGAGTTGTGCGAACTAGTCGTTATAATCAAACTATAAACTCAAGTGATTATTATTATGAATCCTCCGTTCTGAATACCAACAAACGGGTTCATCCAGGCCCGGCCCAGGCCCTGTGCTGGTCAGACCCACAGCACAGGGCCTCAAATTCTTGGGGCCTCACAAATTATAAGTTTCTAGGCGGGCCAAAGGCCAACTAGGCCTCATAATCCAGCGTATAGCTCACCCCTGGCAAGGCCCACCCAACCTGGGCCACGGAGTTGCAGTACTGGCAAGGCCCACACAAAACATTATATATAATAAGTGCAGGTGATGTGAATCCAACCATAGACCCCGTTTTCATTAAAACAAGATTCAACCACTCAGCTGGAACTTGTTTGATGTTTATAATTTAGCAGTTGGTTTATTTTAGATAGAGAAGATAGAAGGGCTAATATACGATTTTATTTCAAATAATACTAGACGATTGTTACTCTTTGAACTATGATAGATGACATTATTACTTTTGTAATCATTTACTGAACTTATATAATTTTTTATTATTTAATAAATTTGCGAGACAAAATTTGGGGCCACGTTTTTAATTGTCGAACAGGGCCTCCGAATATTTTGGGACGGCCCTGGGTTCATCAACAGAAAACCTCTCCATCATAAACAAAAAACTTCTATACTATGTCGGAAACCAACTAGTCCAAGCACACCCTCGTTATAAAAAAAAAACACTTATAATGTCTAGAAATAGAAATGACCTTTTTCTTTTCCTAATAATGTCTCAAGCATTTGCACATTCATCTCTCATATTAATTGGTTCACGAAAACTCTCTATCTTGGCCTAGAAATTGATAGGTCGTTTGGATGTGGAAATTTGAAAACGTTGGAATTTGTCTGAATTTCTATGTTTTACAAAACCAAGGAATTGACTTGTGGAAATTGAAAAAAATTCACGTTTGGATAGGGTTTAGTTTTGTGGGAATTGATGGTGTGGAATTTGGAAAAAGAAGTGAGAAAATGTGGTAATGTCAAATTACTAGGGGGAGGTGTAGTATTCTCAATTACCATGAATGTGGTAATTGAAGCCAATTTCCATGGTCCAATTCCCATACCCTTTTTGCTCTCCCAAACGTGGGTTTTTAACCCAATTACTGCATTATGTGGTAATTGGGTCCAATTACTGCATTACATTTCCACATCCAAACGACCCCTCAATCTTTGCGACAGCTGTGCTCCTCTTTGACTAATGTAGAAAGCATAGCTCCAAGCACAAAATGATTCTGGTATTCAATAATGGTGGGGAAGTCCTTTAATTTGTCAGTACCTCTTTTCAAAGAACCCTGAACTGAATCGCCTTTTATTTGAAACCCACACTGGGCCACGTGACCTGCATCTGCATGCAACCGTAGATATATATGTACATACATGCAATTTCCGCTTTGGGGAAATAATGGAACAACTCGAGAGAGAATAAGAAGGGAAAAAAGGAAGGGGAAAATTTTCTAAGATCTTGTTCACAAGAATCTGATTTGCCTTTCATGAGCTACAGAAACACACTACTAGACGGATCGGAAGTGCGCGAATAAGCTCCATCCTTTTCTGTGTGGTCAAGAAACAGTTGATCACAATAATCCAAATTGTTGACAATGCTTCAGTTATAGATCATATATCAATTATTAACGCATCGATCGCTCAGATTACAACCAGTCATACAGGTTTGAAGTTTTGTCCAAATCTAAATATATACCATATACTTAACAAAATAGATGACGTTACTGAAACTCGATGACTCGACCACATAACTATTTTCGCTGCTTTGATTGCGTTGGATCTTCATCCCTCGTAGCTCATATCCATTTGAAATGCTTTAACAGTGAAGAAAGTGGTGAGATTCTCTTCTATTATTCCCAAAAATGCAACGCAGCCAGTCGGTAAGGGATCAAATTAATTCCTCTGCCCCTGCATGCATGCACAAAAATACTAGTAAAGTCCAAACTTGGCCCGCCCACCTTTCCGCCTTTTCCCCCCAAAAGATAATATTCTTCAGTCTTCACTTTCCTTCAATTCTTCTTGTTTTTTCCCCTTCTTTTTGACCAGCCTACAGGCTACAACCGATATAACGTGGGGGACAAACTAGGGAGGTGAACCATGTTTCATTAATTCAGTTAAGTGGGTTTGTAACCATGTTAACATAAACATTATATCATATATATATAGCCATACAATTGGATTTAACATAGGGTGATTCACAATGGTATATTTTGAATGTAATTCATGTGATAATTAAATCGAATTTGAACATAATTGATCATTTTAATTACTTGATCCTCGAGTCCAGCTTAACTTTCAAATGGATTTAATCGAAATAAATCAAACACGTTGTCGATTGTATCTATTAATTGACCAACCCATGATGAATCAGCCAAACATTTCCTCTCTATCTACTTTTTTCACATACACTTTCTTCTATATGCTTTTCAACACAAATTTATGCCCACTTGATTCGACCGGAAAAATCTTGACCCACTTGTTTGGCTGAGTCAACAACCGGAGCCAGTTTGACAAAATTGCTCTCCAGAGTCAAACGACAACGACCCAGGAACATCTACATTGATATAATAACCATAATGATATAAACAAATTATAATTTTGGTATATCATCATAAATATTATTCTTACTATCACAATAATAATAATCCATGAAAAAGTAACACAATATTTTTATCTATAGAATAATTATATAACATAATAATATTACACAAAATCACATTCATATTATCTTGCGCCCAGATTTTGACCAAAACCTTCAATTTTCAAATCCATGAAGCAAACTACCCGTAAATTCATTCCCCCAACACAAACAAACATAGTGTAACTACATATATTAATAAGAAAGAAACAAGTAACCATGAAAAAAGGCTAATTCCAAAATACACATTAAGTCATTGATGAACGAATCTTTTGATATGAGAAACCATCTCTTGCGCCCTAATCCGCGCCACGGCAGAACGTTCGAGCACATGAAACGCATGCCCAACTCCTCTATAAACAATCGCCTCCACCGCCGCCTTCTTCCCGCCGACGACGACTGTCCCCGCCGCTCTACTCACCGCATCACAAAACTCCAAGCTCCTATCCCTCAGCACATCCGTCTCCGCTATGCAAACAATCGCCGGCACCGGCAGCAGCAGCCTCGGTTCACGAACCTTGGCAAGAGGGTTGCAGAAGGGATGGTCGCGGTTCGCGCCGAAGGGCAGGGACAGCCTCCAGTAGGTGTCGGCGGCGGAGAGGGTCAGCGGCGAATTGGGTGACATGTCGTGCGTGTTTTTCTCTGATGGAGTCCTGGTTTCGCCGCCGAAGAAAGGCTGGATTAGTATCAAGCCCTGGATATAACTGAGTTTTGATGATGATGATGATGATGAGCTGAATAATGTTCTGGCCACGTTGTATGCGATGTTTGCACCGGCGCTGTCGCCGGCGAGGAACACTCCGGTTGATAAGTTGCATCTCCTGCTCCACCAGTGTTGAGAAGATCTATCCTGGCTATATGATGGGGAAAAAACATCGACATGGACTTTGTTAGTCACTTAGCTTTATTGATCAGTGGATTTCAATAACTCGAATTGTTTAGAAGAATTTTCTGTAAGGTACTTAACTGCACTTTCGTACGTCTAGACATGAAAAGTCTAGGCAAATAAATGGATCGTTTAAAAAAAAAATTGCCCAGACAAGGTATGCCTTATTTGCAAGATGAAATACCAGTTGATATGGTCTTCTTCAGCTCGTGGATTTGAAATTCGTACAGGCCCATCATACCATGTGCTTTAAAAAAATTTAAACTCTTATACCATGTCATAAACCAACAGGTCTCAATAACTCGAGTTGTTGGGGGGGAAAAAGGTTACATATGAATCTTATATCACTCTCTTACATCTCATAATTAACATTCTCCAAACAACTCGAGTTATTATGATCCAAATGGTTCTTCCCATGGTATCACAGAGTCTTCTGTAACCGAGAGGGTATTTTGTTCAAATCCCGATGTTAAGCACGTGACATTTTTGAATCCGTGCAGACTTCAAAACCTATATGATTAGTAGCTTTTATTTGAAGAGGTGTGCTTCTATGTGGTATAAGATCGATAACTGAATTCCGTCCCCAACAACTTGAGTTATTGGGACAAGTTAGAGGTTTATGACACATTTAACACAAAGAAAGCGCGAGACATGTGCATTACATGTCATATTTTACACTCGTTTGGAAAAAAGTTTGGTACCTAGTGATCCATGCAAGTGCTCTGAGGCCATCGTCGTAGGCAGCAGGGAGGCGATGCTCCGGAGCCAGCCGGTAGTTGACCGAGAAGATGACGCAGCCCGCTTCTCCGGCGAGGCCGGAGAGGAAGCTGTGGTAACAGCTCCAAGCGGCCGAGCCTACGCAGAACCCGCCGCCGTGGAAGTAAACCAACACCGGCAGCTTATAATTATAACTGCTGCGGCAGTAGCCGTTCACGGCCGGAACATACACGCGCGCCCACAAGTTGGAAGATCCGTCGATCACCGCGTCCGTGGATGTCACGCCGCCGGCGGCGGCGGCGGGTGACGTGCAAGGCACGGTAGGGATGATGGGCGGCCTTTCCACCCGCCCGTCTTCGTATACTCTGATCAACCCTGGGATTTCCTCTTTGATCGTGTTGTTGTTGGTCGACTTCTTTCCTGCGGCGGGTTGGAGCTGTCGGTTGAACCGTGGGTCGATCCGAGTGGAAGCCATTTTGATTTGTTTCCTTCTCATGCACTAATTTGATCAATGGAGAGATATGTTTGGTTTAGTGTGAGATGGAAGCGTGGATGTTTATATAGGGGAACTTTGGCGCGGGGCGTGCGTGTGCTGAAAAGGTAAAGAAAGATTATATAGCTAGGGATAAATATTGTACGTAGATCACTCTTTCAAAGAATTAGAGAAAAGGGAGAGGAAAATATCATTGTTCCAAAAGAAACAAAAAAGAAGGAATATTATGTAGAATTATCATCAATTGTGGATTCTCTGGTAACCTAGCCCGCACTTCTATTATGTTTTAAAGTATAACTTGAAGTTGTATCATAATGTTAAAGGTATATATTGGAATTGTACCATGAGGGAATTTGACATTTATATTATGGTACAACTTCAAGTTATACCATAACATAAAAGTACAGCTTTAGTTTTGTACTATAAAGGAATTTTACAAAACAGTGTAGGTACAACCTGAAGTTGTATCGTAAAGGCAAAAACTAAAGCACCAATGCCTTAAAGCATCGTAAAATTCCTCAACCCTAGCATGTTTTGAACCGTGATAATTGGAGATGGGCGGGCGGAAAGAGAGTGTAGTATGATGGTTCCAGGGAGCGATCATGGACCGGGAGGAAAATTGGTAAATTAGGTATATTAGTTATTGATAATGAAATTCAAGACGTGTGTCTACTCTAATCAAGAAGTCTTGTATTTAAATCTTTTGCTAAGCATGTAGTATTTAGATTTGTGCAAACTTGAAGCTCATATTAGTAAATTGTATAAGATTAAATTATATAGCATCTCCCAACAACTTGGGTTATTTATACTAAACGATTCTCGATAAAAAATATCATTTCGAAGTGAACGACTAACTAAATAATGCATAATTGTTTGATATAAGATCTGTTATTAAACAACTCGAGTTATTGATACTAAATGGTTCTTGACAAAGCACACCATTCGAAATCGAACGACTGACTAAATCATGAACAATTGTTTGGTAACAAAAGAGTGATTTTATTAATAGTCTCAACTATTAATTTATTTTAATTTTTCCAAATATTTAAAAAAATAAAATTTTATCATGTTTTTTTTTTCTAAATAGACTCACTTTAAATGAAATTTTGTCTACATCTCTGAAAATGTAGTTAAAATCTTGTCGACTGTTCTATTACCTAAGAAATTTATAGATTTTGCTACCCTTATTCCAAAGTTGAAACGACTATGTTCCAATTTTCTTCGGGAACATATCCAACTTTGTTATCTGTTAAAGCCCAGAAGCTATATGGTACTTTTTTGGGTAGGGAAGAAAATTATCCAAAGAACATGCGGGGGAATTTTAGACCAAATGGAAAAAAAAATGAGCTCAATCTGGTGCACAAATGCAAAAGGAAAGGAATAAAGAATAAAGTTCCACAAACTTTTTTTGATCTATTATTCAAATGGCATAGCAAATCCGCACATCGGTTCCTTTCCGTAAAGTCAACCATATGGCCAAGGTTCATTGTTCTTTATTCAATTTGTCATTACATTGCGCTTAAGTATATCTTTACAGAAACCTCTACGACCAAACTTCTCATTGGAAGTCTGCCGATGCCCGATGCCATGCACGTGTCAAACAGAAACTCAAGCTACAGTCTCAATTCTTCTCCGAGAGTAAAAGTAGGGTTGTTAATGAGTCGAGCTATTCGTAAGCGGCTCGGTTTTGAACTCGATAAAAGCTCGTTCGATTAAAAAAAAGAAACGAGTCGAGTTTGAGCTCTACCTTGTCTGGCTCATGAAGCTCGTGAACTAACTCGATTAGGTGGCTCGTTGAATACAACTCACGAACTGTCTCGTTTTGAGCTTATGAGATGTCCCAACATTGTGACTAGAGAGCCAACTCGACTACAGCTTATTAGAAAATCAATCTATATTATATGAGTTGGGTTGTTAATGATGCATATAATTATTAAATTGTATATATTACCTCATATGGTGTTTAATACATTGAGTATATGTAAGCAAATACGTCTCATATATGACATAACATTAGGTAATCGGGTAAATGACACATTTGGTCACTGAGATTATTAAATTGTGTCATGTTTAGTCACTAGAAAAAATTAATATCAATTTTGGTCACTCGAATTACCGAAACTGGTCAAATTTAGTCACTCTCCCGTCAGTTTCCGTCCAACTCCATTAATGTAGTTGGACGGAAACTTTTGGGAGAGTGACTAAATGTGACATGTTTCAGTAATCCGAGTGACTAAATGTGACATTTTTCAATAATTCGAGTGACCGGAGTTGGACAGAGGCTACAAAAGAGTGACCAAATGTGACCTGTTTCAGTAATTCGAGTGACCAAAATTGATATTAAATTTTTCTAGTGACTAAATATGACACGATTTAGTAATCTCAGTGACCAAATATGTCATTTACCCTTAGGTAATCACATGTAACACATGACATATAAATATTAGGGTATTTATATTATAAATTATCTTAGAGTTGAGCTCGAGCCGAACTTTCGATCTTAATGATGTGTCAAGATTTAATAAATGAGCTAGCTCGTGTTCGACTCGACTCGGCTCGTTTAGCCAAACATGAACAAGGTAAGGCTCGACTCATCTCGGCTCGACTCATTAACAGCCCTAAGTGAAAGTGACGCAAGCTGCAAACATGGGGGTGCTAAGACAGTGTTTGCATAATCGTACTATACTGACTATTCAATTGGAAAAATTCTCTATCAAAATTCAAATCAATAGGCGATTTTAATCATTTAGAAGATTGAACCATGATTAATTTACAATTTCAATATAAAATAGCTGACTTTTCAGGTAGAACCGATAAACTGGTACGATCTTTGATAGAAATAGTTAAACCATACAAAGAATTTTTGCTACCAGGTTTTGGCCGTTAAATTAAGACTAGCATCTATGGCTAAGATGGGCCTAGTCAAGTGACTAAAGGCACCCTCAGACCTCAGTCCCATCCCCTGCAACTGCAAACCAACCCAAGCAAACGACCGCTCAGTCTCCAAACGAAACCAAGAGACCATCTATTCTCAAAGGAGCTCATATAGTTTTTCTGTGTCTTTTCCCCAAACCTTGGAACTAAGTTCGTGACAATGGATATCAATGACCAAGGTAAAATGCGAAACACAAGATAAGCCAAAACTAGAGATCTCAAATTTTAAGCAGAATTACTTAATTACAGCAGGAAGCTGGTGCAGATTATGCAACTAGTAGCTAAGAAGCTTTATAGTGGTAACGGCTCCTTTCCCTCTTGCTGCTGCTGCCTGTTGTACTCTTTCTTCATCTTTTCCAACATAGCATCATTTGTGCTGCAGGGTTAAAAGAAACTAACACGATTAGCAGTTTAAAACATCACAACCTACACTAACTTCAAAGAACCCAACATCATCGTTTTAAACGACGGGGAAAGGGATGCTTCGCACTTCCAGTTTGATCACAATGACAGTTTATGGAAAAGCTTGATCCATAATCAAAGGACTTGATTTGAGAAACCAGTCTCGGCAATGAAAATCAGATGTTGCACAAAAGCCACAAAGAAGAAAATACGAGGCCGTTGGAGATTTTGAGTCTATATCTCGAGATTATAAGCAATCCAAGATTCTTACTCTCCTTATTGTTGAAAATGATTTTAAGAAGTTTGATCTTTGACAACTGTAATTGCTGACATTCAATGAAAAAAATAATCATTTAATCAAGATATAGAATCTCATAATTATAGATATTTGAAAACTCTGGACCTAAAATCTATGATACATAAACCAGCAACATAACATAATTTTATATTGAATCTATATACTCATACTCCAACTTTCATTCTCCCAACGACTCTACAAGTGTTAAATCAAGTCTGCGACCTTGCTTCAGCCACTATGAAGTATGATTCTGACAAAAAATTGCTGAATTCTTTTCTCTAAAATCCTGATCAGCGTCTCTTATTCGACTATGGAATACAGCTTCTGGAGAACCACAGACTTATGTATTGCAAGATGCTTCATCTATAAACGTTACCATAGACCCCTCTTGCAATCTCCAAACTTCCTCCTCAAACTAGCACAGAGTCAGAAGTAACTCCTCATGATCTTCATTCATAAAGATTTATCATTCAGTTCTAGAAACGAACTGAGATCACGTAGAAGAAAACTAACTACTTGGGGCTTATTATCCTTTTGGACAGTCAAAACCTCCAATCAACTTAACGAAAGAGATCTCGCATTAACAAGAAAGACTAGTTTCTCACTGGAAAGTTTGAGCCAAACCCAAGTAGCCAAAAGACGTCTACCAACATTAAGTCAGTAAGGTTATTTCCCACCAGTTATCAGCTGCAACAGTATCACGTCTGCAAAATTGTCTGATCTGGACACAATCCTCAACAAAGAAACTTATAATCTTACCACTGCAACAAACAAAGAGAGGGACCTTGATGTAGTCATTTCAGGTTCAAATTTCCTACTCCCCATCGTCTGTAATCAACCATTAAAGTCCTAATGATAACAGGATGCTAACTAAGATATAGAACCTCATATTCCTTCTCCCATCCATGCTTATTATCTTATTCCAATAGCAAAACATTGTTTTCGATCCACTCGTTTGAAGTAAAACACCTAGCAGACAACTCAGCCACAGTACCAACAAGACCAACTGAAAGCACTCACATTGCTAAATCAACCTACGCAAGATTATCACATTATGCACTAATCGTATTAATTAGGCATAAACATCACTGACCTAAACAAAGGCGTCAGACAAAGTAATTGGCGAGAAGCAACAGTTACATTGCTGAGAAGTGAGGAACTTACTACTGATGGAGGCAAGCATTCAACTCTTTAGCCTGTTTTCTGCACTGCCACACAACCGACAGTGTCCGACCAGCAGCGCATTGTGCATACTTGGAAGCGAGATTGTCACATTCCTTGAGTGCCCTCTGCTTCATTTTGCTGATCAAAGCTGCAAAAGAATACATGATTTCAGATATTGGGAGCTCACAGATCGCATTTCGAAGGTTAGCGAGAAGCAAGATAAATGCTCGGAACCCAGAACTGCGAAATCAATTTCTATGTAAAACCCCAATTTCGATTGCGAAGGAGGGTTTTGCTAGGGTTTATAGATTGAGCGGCTGGTTTTGAATATACCTTCTTCTACCTTCTTCTTTACGTGATTCTCACGAGCTTCCTGGAGGTAACCCATTTTCGACTATCCGGAGAGCTTCGCCTCTGCCCCTTCAAGCTCCGAAGACCGTGTTTGTGTTTTCTGGCGTAGCAGTTGCAGTTGCCACTCGCAAGTCTTGGCCTCTTGAGTTGGGAATATAGTTAGTAAAATATGGTACGGGAAAATTACGTAAAAAATACGTACGGGTATTTTACGTTGTCTGTAAGCTAATGTTACGTTTAATAGTACGTTAATAGTCATAAGTACATAAAAATAAATTATTTTAAAAATAAATAAATATATAAATAATAGTAAAGTTCAAAATTTAATTCATTAAATACGGATATTAAACGTGTTATACGGGTTTTATACGTGTTTAGTACGGGAGCCATCAAATGAACGGAAAAAAATAAAATGGCTTGAAAATAATACGTATACGGAAGTTTTAAACGGATAAAGCACATACGGGTACATATACGTGTATTAAACGGAGTATTTACTAACTATTGGGAGTGAACCGAAAGCCCTGCCAAGGCCAGAGAACAAAAACTAGAGGCAAAAGTTCTAATCAACCCCCAAATGTTTTATCTTCTGATAGAATTGGTCTTTTGAGCTTTCTTTTAAGTTTTTAGTAGAATTGTATTTCAGAAATACCACTGTTTAAAAAAATATATATACAAAACTACCACCTAACCAGAAAAAATCCAAAACTACCACCATTTTTTGAAAACCGTCACACGGAGAGGCGGTTTGGAAGTTATTCAATCGTCTGACTCATAGTTCGTTATTCTTAGGGTCGTTTGGAAGTTGTGATTGTTTATATGAGATTGTTACTATACTTGTATTGTTTATGGATGGATTATTTTTGGGAAAAAATCCCAAAGTACACTAGTTTTTAAAAAAATTTCCCAAAATACATAAGTTATAAAAAAAATTCCAAAAGTACACATGTTTGAGCATCACCGTTTTAGACAAAAACGGTGAAGGTCATCACCGCTTTTGACCAAGACGGTGAATACTTCACCGTTTCAAACTAAAACGGTGAAGGGTTCACCGCGTTTGTTAAGAACGGTGAATACTTCACCGTTTTAAACAAAAACGGTGAAGCCTTCATTTGAATTCCAAGTATTTTGATAACTCTAAATGGTTCTCCTCGTCGATACGATCGCGCTGCCGAAAACGGCTCGTCATTTCGACCTCAAACGAATAAGATACGCGCGTTTTAGTTTTTAGTACGCAAAAGTTACTTTAACGACATGTGCAGCTTTGAACTCACTTATCTCACTCGTTTGGACTCGGAATTGAGATCTGTAAAATTCTATGTGATCGTGGTTGATTTTCCCAACCTTTTTGTGTTGAGGGAAGATAATGATTCTTGATAAAATGATCCAGAATATTCATTCGACAACTTAAGTGCGTATGATAGTTTTTAGACAATGCAAACTCAAATAACAACACCTAAAAATCACAAAAACAACATTGATAGTTCACTACAATGATAAAATGATAAATTCACTCATTTGCTTCATTTTGGCCCCTATCTCCACCTCTTCCTCCTCGTCCTCCACGACGTCCTCGACCCCTTCTTCCCCCCTCCGCCACTGCTTCTTGGCGGGCTCGCTCAACGGCTGGTCGCGGATTTCTCTTGACCCGAGCCCCAACTGGGGTTACATATGGTGGTGGTGGTGGCTGAGTTGGACCGGTAGCTTGACGAATGATCGGGGGGTTCGGAGTTTGTTGTTGCGAAAGTTGGAATTAAGAGAACCCATGATGTTGTTACATATGGTTCTCTCAATTCCAACATCCGCAACAACAAACTCGTGGAGGACGAGGAGGAAGAGGTGGAGATGGGGGCCAAAATGAAGCAAATGAGTGAATTTATCGTTTTATCATTGTAGTGAACTATCAATGTTGTTTTTGTGATTTTTAGGTGTTGTTATTTGAGTTTGCATGGTCTAAAAACTATCCTACGCACTTAAGTTGTCGAATGAATATTCTGGATCATTTAATCAAGAATCATTATCTTCCCTCAACACAAAAAAGTTGGGAAAATCAACCACGATCACATAGAATTTTACAGATCTCAATTCCGAGTCCAAACGAGTGAGATAAGTGAGTTCAAAGCTGCACATGTCGTTAAAGTAACTTTTGCGTACTAAAAACTAAAACGCGCGTATCTTATTCGTTTGAGGTCGAAATAACGAGCCGTTTTCGGCAGCGCGATCGTATCGACGAGGAGAACCATTTAGAGTTATCAAAATACTTAGAATTCAAATGAAGACTTCACCGTTTTTGTTTAAAACGGTGAAGTATTCACCGTTCTTAACAAACGCGGTGAACCCTTCACCGTTTTAGTTTGAAACGGTGAAGTATTCACCGTCTTGGTCAAAAGCGGTGATGACCTTCACCGTTTTTGTCTAAAACGGTGATGCTCAAACATGTGTACTTTTGGAATTTTTTTTATAACTTATGTATTTTGGGAATTTTTTTTAAAAACTAGTGTACTTTGGGATTTTTTCCTTATTTTTGTGATGCGACAGAAAGTATAAGTGAAAATGAGTGATTGTTATATCACAGCTTTTAGCTTAAATTGTTGAGATAGTTTAGTTGATATTGTTTTATCTAAACTTTTAACCGATGTGACATATACAATCATACATACTAAACGTTGTGTTTACCAATACATCAAATTTATCTATACATGCATAATATTATACACGTATTCACAATCAACAATACATCTATCTAACAACCGCAACTTCCCAACGACCTTAGTATAGTTGGGGAAAAGTTGCTTTTCTTATGAAAATATTGATTGGGTGGATGATCCATTATATGTACTCATGTATATAGTAGTTTACAAATGGGGAAACAATTGTATGTTGTATAGGTTTGTGCCCATAAATACCAACAGCCTATATGGATAAAAAAAATTATATAGTCATCCTTCCTTCTTGTGTATTTTCTTTATAAACTTGTTTCTTATAGTTGCTCATTTCATTTTCCTAATACGTTATTAGCACGAAGCTCTACTAAAATTATTATTGGTCAATGTGTCTTTACATAATTGAATGCATCGAACAAGAACAAAGTTGTCTCTCTTCGGTACTCCCTCTTTTCTCTTTCTTTTCCATTTCTCCCTCGAACAAGAGCATATTCTCTCCACCTCTTGCGATTCCTCTCCATCTCCTTCCATTTTCTGATTCTCAAACCACAAAATGTTCACTTCTCCATCAAACATAAAAAAATATGATTTATGGTTTTATCCGGCAAATTTCTGCCCACTGCGACCATCCATCTCCTCATTTGCTCTTCGCTGCTCCCAACTTTCATGGTAGAGACGGAGGGAAGAAGAGTGGCAGAAGATCTGGTTTGTTTTTGCTCTTTCCTTTCCTTTTTCTCGTCTCTTTTTCTTTGAGTATGTTATGATATGGTTATCGTCTTCTTGTTCTCTCCAGCCTTATTCAACAAAGAGGGAAAGGAACTAAGAAGGGAAAAGAGAGTTAGAGAGGGAGAGAGGGAAATCATCAGAAAAATGGAGGAGAATTACGCGGTGTAGGCAATGGCGACGATCCTCCGAACGAGTCACACTCTCCCTCTTCATTTCTCGCAATTTCAATCAATCTAAGCTCTGCCTTCAAATTCATGACTAGTTTAATGAACTCGAGTGAGATTGTATGTTTCGATTGACCTAATTTATGACTCTACATGTCGTTGGCTACAGGTTGTTGGGTATTTATTTTTTGCTCAATATCTGAATCCCCTGTATGGACGATGAGAAGGATACAAAATTAGTTTCAAACTCTCTCTGATTCATGTGATTCTAATATGGTGCATAAATCGAGATGCAGAGACTGAATTTTTGGAGTTTTAGGTTGGTATATTGTTGGTTTGGTGCAGTGGATTGATTTTTTTTTTTGGCAACGTGGAAAGTGTTGTTTGAGAATTGATGTTGGCTATGTCTCGCCCCAATTTACATCTAGTTTGTAGCACATTACCTAGTGGTTAGTTGTCTGTTAAAAGATAGGTAGGGCTGGTAAACGGTTAGCCGGTTAACGGTTTAACCGGTAACCGTACCGGTAACCGGCGGTTATCGGTTATACCGTTAACCGACGGTTTCGGTATACGGTAGACAAAACGCAGGGGTCGGTATACCGAACCATATCCGGTTAGTAACCGGCAGTTACTCGGTATACCGAGTATACCGATTATAGGGGAAGCCCCATCCCTTTATCGATTCATTCACAATTCATTCATCCTGTTCTCTCCTCCCTCTCTCATCTCCCTCAAGGAAAAACTCCCTCTCACCATTGAACCCATAAACAAAACCTCACCGTCGCCGATTCATTCTCTATCTTCATGCGCCGTCGTCGGAGAGAGTGCTAGAGTGATGGGTTCGTTGCTCGCCCAGCAGCCACCGCCTTTCTCCACTCCTCTACCGCGTCCGTCGCCGCTGCTGTTGTGGAGAACCCAGAACCCAGCGCTTCGCTCTCCCTCTCAAACCCACAACCCCATCCGGCGACTCGCCCTCCATCTCGATCCCAGATCCGATGCCATGCAATCTCCCTCGCTCGACGGCTCTCCCTTCCTCCCGAGACCAGATCTGGCACCATGCTGTCTCCCTATCACGGCGGTTTTCAGTCCGTCGAGATTCCAGATCTGAAGCCGCCGCCGGGAATCGATACTGCCCACAGGCCGACAGCGACTCGCCTTCCATCTTTGATTCCAGATCTGGAGCTGCCGCCGAGACACGATGATGCCCACTCTCTTTCATCTTCAACCTAGGTCAATGAATCTCTAGATCGGCGCCACTCTCACCCCATCTCGATTCCAGATCTGCCAGAGAAAGAGAAAGCGCTTACCGGTTTTTCGGATAACCGGGAAGATAACCGTTACCGGAAATTCGGTAAGCCGGTTAACCGGAAATTACTCGGTACCGGTAGTCGGAGGATACACTGGAATTTCGGTAATACCGATAACCGGTAATTCGGTAACTGGTTATACCGATACCGACCGATTACCAGCCCTAAAGATAGGTAAGTTAAAAAGGGTATATTCTTATTTGAACTTTGTGTTATAAAACAACACATCATTGATAACTCTTTCAGTCAAACAAGACATTTTAACAAGTTATCGCTTAAATACCACACAAATAACTATTTTACTAATAATACAAATACCACATGACCAATTAACCTATCAAAAGACCCAAAACGACGTTTGCGGTGCCATAAAACGGCAGCAAAATAGAAAAGCAAACAAAAAGTAAGGGTACTGGAGTCTGGGGAAAAAATCTCAAGTTACACATGTTTTTAAAAAAAATTCTCAAAATACAAACGTTATGAAAATAATTCCCAATCTACGTTAGTTTGGGCCATCACCGCTGTCGACGAAGACAGTGATTGCATCACTGTTGTCGACGAAGACAGTGATTGCATCACCGCTTTCGACGAAGACAGTGATTGCATCACCGCTGTCGACGAAGACAGTGATTGCATCACTGCAGTACACGGCCGCGGTGAAGGTCTGACCTGCGTCGAAACTTTAAACAAACGTAACTTTGTGCTCGGTTATCCGATCGTAGCGAAATTTTTTTTGATTCCGCATAATTTTTCGAGATCTTGCAAGCCGCAAATGGCCATAGGAGGTTTGTTCCCGCCTTCGTCTCCAAAATATGTCGTTTGCTACCCCGAACGAGCCTTTTTTCGATTTCGTCAAACTTTGAATGACCATAACTTTGTGCTCCACAATCCGAAAATCATGAATTTTTTTTGATTTCGCATAACTTTTTAAGGACTAAAATATTTAGTAGGAGAGAATTTTCAAAAAATGAATTATTTATGGATATAAGGGGTTTTGGGAATAACTTTACCTTCCTTTTCAGGAATCCAAGTACATTTCGAAAATATGTCTATGATAAAAATTGTAGTCCTTAAAAAGTTATGCGAAATAAAAAAAAATTCATGATTTTCGGATTGTGGAGCACAAAGTTATGGTCGTTCAAAGTTTGACGAAATCGAAAAAAGGCTCGTTCGGGGTAGCAAACGACATATTTTCGAGACGAAGGCGGGACCAAACCGCCTACGGCCATTTGCGGCTTGCAAGATCTCGAAAAATTATGCGGAATCAAAAAAAAATTTGCTACGATCGGATAACCGAGCACAAAGTTACATTTGTTTAAAGTTTCGACGCAGGTTAGGCCTTCACCGCGGCCGTGTACTGCAGTGATGCAATCACTGTCTTCGTCGACAGCGGTGATGCAATCACTGTCTTCGTCGACAGCGGTGATGCAATCACTGTCTTCGTCGACAACAGTGATGCAATCACTGTCTTCGTCGACAGCGGTGATGACCCAAACTAACGTAGATTGGGAATTATTTTCATAACGTGTGTATTTTGAGAATTTTTTTTAAAAATATGTGTAACTTGGGATTTTTTCCGGAGTCTGGAGGAAGGTGCGGCCATTTTTGTAGTGTTCGGTTCCAGAAAGACCTAAAACTAAAACCCACACCCCAAGAGCCCCGCTCAAGATCTCTGTCGTTGGAGTTGAAGCTCGAAAAGCTTCTTAGCATATATACCTCAAACCATTCCCTCTCGTTCGTTCTCCCTCCAGTAAACCAGCCGCAGCAGCCAGCAGTAGCCAGAAGCAGGAAAAGATGTCGCTCCGAGTACTGAACCCTAATGCGGAGGTTCTCAACAAATCGGCGGCACTTCACATGAACATCAATGCCGCCAAGGGCTTGCAGGACGTCCTCAAGACCAATCTCGGTCCCAAAGGCACCATCAAGATGTAAATCTTCTCTCTTCCTTCTTGTTTTCGATTCCCATATGCTTCCTTCCTCCTTCGATTTCGTCGTGTATGAAGTTTTGTCTCGCTGTAATAACTCAGGCTCGTTGGCGGGGCTGGAGACATTAAGCTGACTAAGGACGGCAACACTCTCCTTAAAGAAATGGTGACTTTACTTTCTTCCTTCTTTGTGTGCTAGGCCTGAATTTGTTGCTCAACGGAGTGTAGGGTTTATGAGATCTTATGATCTGTGTTACTTTATTCCCGCCCTGCTCCTCTTTTCTTCGCTTCCTACTACAATTAGTTTAGCATTTCAATGTATAGATCGTAGTTCACTTGTCCTGAGTTCATTTTTGGAAATGCATTAGTTTGGACTGTCAGAGTTCCATTTTTTTTTCTTTTGTGAAGTCCCTCGGAGTTGATCCGATTTGAACTGGAGAGTTTTCTAGGTGCAATCTAGATTACTTAGAACTCGACGTAGAGGGTGACAGTGCATGGAGCATTAGAGTCATGGACTGATGAATTGGCTTATTTTGTTGGATGGTTGCAGCAAATTCAAAATCCAACAGCAATTATGATTGCACGGACAGCTGTTGCCCAAGATGACATTAGTGGTGATGGTACAACTTCTACTGTAATCTTTATTGGGGAGCTGATGAAACAGTCTGAACGGTACATTGATGAAGGTTAGCAACAACCTATTCACTCTCTAGTTTGATTTTCTCATACCTGTTATTCTGTAGCGAATGGATCTGTTTCTCTTTCAGAAATCTCATTTCTTTTCCGGTTTATCTGCAATTTTGTTGCTTAGTTTTGACGTTTTCTTGTGGTCATGCTTCTAATCATGTTTCGGGAACAATTTCTTAGAAGATGAGAGTTTAGTGCCCTGTCTGCTTTTGGATCTTTGTATTTGTCACGAGTTTGCTTCATCTCTGATAATTGCGAGATGTATTCTTCCACCATTCTCATTGATGATGCCCATCATCTTGTTATTAACAAATCATATCCTTTATACCTTCATTGTCGCTTGGGCTGTGGTTCTTCAGAGCCACGGTTAAGCATTGGTGGCCTTGTGGTAAATGCAAGTAGCCATTGGCTTATGTGTACGAGGCTGTTTCTTATATATGTGAAGCTGCAGTTTTATTGGTATCCGAAATAAGTGCAAGTAGTCATTGGCTATCATACAAATTTACCCATCTGATATGGGATTGCTGCATGCTCACAGGAATGCATCCAAGGGTTTTGGTTGATGGTTTTGAAATTGCCAAAAGGGCTACCCTCAAGTATCTTGAAACATTTAAGACTCCTGTTGTCATTGGCGATGAACCTGACAAAGAGATTTTAAAGATGGTTGCTAGAACTACAGTGAGAACTAAGGTAACCTGTTTTGCGGGAACCGTTGTGAAATTATTTGTTTGTTTCATAGTCTAGAATTTATCTTGTTGCCATGCTCATGTTTTCTTTATTCTCATCCAGCTGTATGAAGCTTTGGCTGATCAATTGACCGACATAGTTGTCAATGCTGTAAGTTTACTCATTGCTTGGTGTTCTGATTCCGTAGTTCGACAATAATGCTACTACTAATAACAATAATAATAATCTGCACCTTGTCCTAGCTGAAGTCTCTTGTGATTAACTGCAAATCGATTCGAATGACAGGTTCTCTGCATACGGAAACCCGAGGAATCTATTGATCTATTCATGGTGGAGATTATGCACATGCGCCATAAGTTTGATGTTGATACACGGCTGGTGGGTTTTGTTTTCGTTTCTCATTTAAAATTTTATTTTTTCTGGATATTTTTGTTAATCTGGTCATGTTCCATCCTATGAGGCTATGACATAGGTATGTTTTTAACTCTTATTAAGTTTGGTCTTTTCATTATTAGTGTTCTGGACCTCCCAAAGTAGTTTGCTCTGTGGCATCCTATGTTGAACATCTATCTTTTTTTTTTCTTTTTCTTCTGTGTGTGTGTGTAGACTTCTACCCTTGTTGGTTGTGCTTAAGCAACCGCCTTTTTATGTATAGCCTCTCACCTGCGTCCTTTTTCTTAAATTGTGGTTTCTGTTAGGTCGAAGGTCTTGTCCTTGATCATGGTTCTAGACATCCTGACATGAAGCGAAGGGCGGAGAACTGCCACATCTTGACGTGCAATGTCTCTCTGGAATATGATAAGAGGTAGTATTTCGGTATGCAAATGTGTATCGAAAGTGATTTGTATAGTAATAATATTTGAGTTAAGCTAATCCCCATACTCCCTTTTAAAAATCCAGTGAGATAAATGCAGGATTTTTCTACTCAAATGCTGAGCAGAGGGAGGCAATGGTTTCTGCTGAAAGGCGTCAAGTTGATGAAAGAGTGAAAAAGATTATAGAACTAAAGAATCAGGTTGTGCAACATCAACAAAACTTCTTGATTTCTCTTTGCTGTTTTGGTTTCTAATTACGCATATGCTGTTTCGTAATGTGCAGGTTTGTTCTGGTAATGACAATAACTTTGTTATTATCAATCAAAAGGGCATTGACCCTCCCTCTCTGGATCTTCTAGCAAGAGCAGGGGTAAGTTCTTTTTAAATCTTTTCTTGAGTGGCCAACTGCATACCATTTTGGAATGCAATCCATGTTCATTAGCTAGGGATGCTTATTACAGAAAAAAGTTTATGTTCTACTTGAGGGATAGTCGAGTGCAGGGTTTCGTCTTTAATTTCTAGTCCTGACTTAATTTCCACTCGAGGGACAGTCAAGTGAGGGCTGCTTAAAATTTTCTATTCTCTAGTTCCCACTAGCTGTTAAGTTAGCGTCCCAATAACTGAAATAGGATAGTTTATCTGACTATAGAATTCATGGGTAAATAATATATGCCATGAAACACTGACTCTGGTTTCTACACAGATTATTGCCCTCCGAAGAGCAAAGCGTAGGAATATGGAACGCCTGGTATTGGCCTGTGGTGGAGAGGCTGTTAACTCTGTTGATGATCTGACTCCTGATTGCCTTGGATGGGCTGGTTTGGTTTATGAGCACATCCTTGGTGAAGAAAAATATACTTTTGTTGAACAAGTAAAAAATCCCCATTCTTGTACAATCTTAATAAAAGGTATTTGAAACACATCTTTATGCTTATCCTTGTCAATCTTTGTCACCATATGGCTGCTGTTCTATCTGTTTCTCATTAAAAGATATGTTGCTCCCATAATCCTGTAGGCCCCAATGACCACACTATTGCCCAAATAAAAGATGCTGTACGAGATGGCCTGAGAGCAGTTAAGAACACCATTGAGGATGAAGCTGTTGTACTTGTAAGTTCTTGCAAATATGTTGTTCCTGCACAGCTTGTCTTATTTCTGCTTTACTAGTAATCAGTTTAATTTAGTCTGCTGGTCTCTTCCAGTGGCTATCCAAATAGTTAATTGTGTTGCTCTTCAAATACACCAACTAACCTAATACTCACGTAATCTAATTGCATTGTTAATGATAGATGTAAACTTTTGTCTGCCTGCCAAATGTTGTTTCTTATACAATGTTCTTTCCCTATAGCTAAGGTTTTTATTTTTTGGATGGAAGATGTTGATTGTTCTGAGAACCTGAATCTAACCATTAGAAGTTACTGGTTGATGTAGTTGCCAGTAACCAATAAAATATTTCTCACATGCACTAAAGAAGAACGAACAAAAGATTTGTTACATGGGTGAATCATTGTTCCCTACAAGTTTGTGATTGCTCGAGCTGTTCTATTGTCTAGGGAGCTGGAGCTTTTGAGTTTGCAGCCAGAAAATACCTACTCAGTGAAGTCAAGAGAACTGTTAAAGGGGTAACTAGGATCATACTTTTCTTATGTTTGACTGTCTTCTCATTCTCCATTCGGTACTGATGGTTGGTGCTTATAATAAATTTGCTGCAGCGCGCTCAACTTGGCGTTGAAGCTTTTGCCGATGCCCTTCTTGTGATACCGAAGACTCTTGCTGAGAACTCTGGGCTTGACACTCAGGATGAGATAGTTTCCCTTACGGTATTTACCCATAGAATTGCTTTTATAAATTCTCAGTTCATTTCATGTACATGTGGAATTTGATTTGAACTTGCCATCTTTGTTCAGGGAGAACATGACAACGGTAACATTGTCGGAATCAACCTCCAAACAGGAGGGCCCCTTGACCCCCAGATGGAGGGTATTTTTGATAACTACTCAGTCAAACGCCAGCTTCTTAACTCAGGGTATATGCACCTCCTACCTTTCGTTCTCGATTACTGTCAGTAGTTTGCGCATCTCTTACCTCTATGCATTACTACGATCTCTCCCTTTCGTTTCGTCACCATCCTTCCGCTGCTTCTGTTTCTTGACGTTCTCAATAATTTGCAGGCCTGTGATTGCATCCCAATTGTTGTTGGTGGATGAAGTGATTCGCGCTGGGCGTAACATGAGAAAGCCAACCTAGGCGGCAGAGCTTCTTTCCTTGTTGCCTTTGGATGAGTCTTCAAGTCTATTGGCGGCCTTCCTTTTGATGTGATGTTATGTAGGAGACTTGTGGTTTTGGAGGATTGTTGTGTATTAAATCGTCTTGGAATCAGCTTGTGAAATTTTGCTCCTTGTTTCTAACTGTTATCACCAGTACTTTTGACATTCTTGAAAACGGTGGATCATGGTAGCAGTGTTTCTTGTCTCCATTATTTTTCACTCTTCGACGAGATCTTGCCTACCTGGTTAAGAATTGAGCTTCTTTGGATTTTATAAATCCCACAACATAACCCTAAGATGGATTTTGGGATATGAAATTATATGCTAATCTATGACCTAACGCTGATATGTTGTGTTGAGTTTGGTATGTAATATGTTGGATGTATTTCAAATAATCATTGGTTATTATTTATAATTAATTAGATCTTAGGGTGTATGATTCCTAGAATAAGAGCTTAGGATTTGCTCATTAATGTTTATAGTATAACTCCATGCTCCAAAACACCAATTACTTAACGGTCAAGATAATGTTTTCTTACTGAAGGTATATGTATAGATTTATCCTAGTTACAATCGTGACTAGAAGTGGGTATTGGTTTGATTTGATTGAAATAGAACTGGATTAATGTAATATTGAAAATAAGAACCAAATTTAAAACCATTGGTCTCTTCGATTAGATTAATGTGCAATTAAAATCAATATGATTTGGTCGATCGAAACACGATCGATCTAAGTCAAAGTTTGAACAAATAAATATAATAGATGTTTATTCTCAGTCTTATAATTGTAATTTGTTCTTCATTTTTTTTTTATCTTTGACATAGCTCGTCATGATGTTTTCGAAGTGCTAAACTGCTAATATAGTCTAGTGGTTCTTGTTCAATCTCTCATTAAAAACATCTCAAATTGTTAGGGGAACATAAATTATTATACAATATTTGGGAAATTCTGATTCCCAAGCTTTCCAAAATCCAAACCCTAGCTAGTTGATAGTCAGATTCCGTTAAGAATTTATGGCATATATATATTTTTTTAATAAAATAAAAGGAAAAAGGAGAGGCGGAGGGCTGATTGGGCCCAGATTCCAGAAAAAAAGGCGTGGCCCACGAACCCACCAAAAACACCACAGCCCACGGACAACCGGGGTGAAGTGAGCTGAACCATATCCGATTCCATCGTCATGTGGGCCCATTTTAATTTAATTTAATTTAATTTAATTTAATTTAATTTAATTTCCCTTTTATCTTCCCCCTTTCTTTGAATGGTCGGTGGTGGGCTGGTGGCCCTTTGTCAGAGTGACTGACTCGTAAATTTCCCAGCGTTGACCGTCAACCCTACGCCCTCTCTCTCTCTCTCTCTTCATCTCCGCCACCCACCACGTGTCAGCTCCTCATTGGACCTCCCTCGCCTATCAACCCTCCCTCTCTTTCCACGCCTTTTTATTAACCGCCTCCTCGAGCTTCTTGTTCTCTCCCCCCGCATTTCTTTTTCTCTTCCTTCTCCGTCGTCTTCGTTCCGCATCCATCTTTCCTTCCGCCCCCCGCTCCTACTGGTAAGCCCTAGTTTCTCGACGAATCCCTCAAGGTCATTTGTCTGGTGATTGATTATAGTTCATTTTCTGTGTGTGTCGATCTGCGATTTTGTGATCTCGATTCCGTGATTTCCCCTCCCGAGATCTGTAGTTTTTTTTTTTTATCATCGTGTGACTGCCGAGTGTTCCTTTCCGCTGCTTGATTACGGCTGGTAAAAGGTTCCTTCGTTTTAATGGCTGTGTTGATTTTCTTTGTCGCGGGATCTGATTGCTTGCTGTTGAGTTGTTTTTGGTTGTGGGGACTGGGTAGGCGTTGACTTGGTCTTGTCCTGAATTTTGATTTTGATCTGTTAGATTGGGGTTGGGAGAAGATAGTAGTACCAAGGGTAGAACGTAATTTTTTGATGCCAGGTTGGGGTTTCTGATGATCCTGAAATTGCATCTTACAATGCTGTGGTTGCTTCCCCTGGTTGGTTGTGTGCCTTTGCTTGCAACTGTTTGGAGTCACTATAATGGCTGATTGGGAGTAGTGGTGGGTTTCTCCATGTGTTTATGCGAAAGGGGCAAGGACAAGCTGCTTTGTAAATTGTCTTTTCCATTGATTGCTGTCATTGATGGAAATATGTGTTATTTAGTGCATCAACAGCATTAGGTAGCATTGTTTCGATCAATCAGGAAAGAAATAAGCACCGGGGGAGGTGTAAAGAACTAAAGATACCCCCTCTTGGTGCTTGTTTGTTGCTTTGTCAGGTCAGGTTTTTCAATTTGTTTAGGGTAAAGCAGAATTGATGTGGTGTGTTCTTATGTTTTGTTTGTTTCTGTGTTGTTAAGCGATAGATGTTTTGGATTTAATCGTTATATATATTAAACGGGATCTTGGAATCGGTTACTGTTTCATTCTTCTTAATGGTGCTTGTTTGTAATCATTTGGGCAGGTTTTACTTTTTAGATTAAGAGAAGATGTCAGGTGAAGCATCCCGCGAGGAGAATGTCTACATGGCCAAGTTGGCCGAGCAGGCTGAACGCTATGAGGAAATGGTGGAGTTCATGGAGAAAGTTGCAAAGACAGTTGATGTTGAGGAGCTGACTGTGGAGGAAAGGAACTTGCTTTCTGTGGCTTATAAGAATGTGATTGGGGCAAGAAGAGCTTCGTGGAGGATCATTTCTTCCATTGAGCAGAAAGAAGAGAGCAGGGGAAACGAGGACCACGTGTCTATTATCAAGGATTACAGGTCCAAGATTGAAACCGAGTTGAGCAAGATCTGTGATGGCATCCTGAACCTTCTTGAGACGCATCTCATTCCTTCTGCCTCAGCTGCCGAGTCTAAGGTGTTTTACCTCAAAATGAAGGGTGATTACCACAGGTATCTTGCTGAGTTTAAGACTGGTGCTGAGAGAAAGGAAGCCGCAGAGAGCACCCTGGTGGCTTATAAGTCTGCACAGGTGGGTTCTAAAGAGGGCTTGTCTTCACGGCTCTTATAATGGCTTTTTCATTCATGTGTTTTTTTTTGGGCACTATGTTCTCTTATTGCTTTTTCAGTGTTCATACGGATAGTGTATCTTATTACATGTCAGAAGATTCATATATTTTTTTCTTTGGTGCAGGATATTGCACTTGCTGATTTGGCTCCTACCCACCCGATCCGTCTGGGACTGGCACTGAACTTCTCTGTTTTCTACTATGAGATCCTTAACTCACCTGATCGTGCCTGCAACCTTGCCAAACAGGTACATTTCCATGGGTTCATCATACAGAACTAACCTCTCCATGTCTTATTGGAAATTGACTTTGGGTAACTGTTATTGGGTTGCTATTTTGGTTATGATATCTTGAGTGACGGGCTTGAACTTGTTGATTGCTCTTTTTTACTGTAATACTTGCATCGCATATCCTCTTGATGCTTAACATTGCTGTTGAGTTGACTATTAGACTCTCACGACTTAAAATTGTTTTGCAGTATTGATACTTCCTATCATATCATATCTTCATAACTCATCTTTATATTTGTGCAGGCTTTTGACGAGGCCATCTCTGAGCTGGACACATTAGGTGAAGAGTCATACAAGGACAGCACTTTGATCATGCAACTTCTCCGTGACAACTTGACACTGTGGACTTCTGATATCACGGTGAGTTTTTCTCAGTTCCTGTCTTCATACATTATTGGTTCAACTGCTCGCATCTTATGCTATGATGTTCTAAAATCCCTACTTGCAATCTCCATCCATTGCTGTGGATGGTTATACCTCGCTGGTGTTTCCTACAAAACTGTGACTAATGTGTTGTCTTCCTTTACAGGACGATGCTGGGGATGAGATCAAGGAAGCATCAACGAAGCGCGAATCGGGAGAAGGGCAGCAATAGTCCCTTTCATTCCTAGGATGATGATGTGTCTACTCTCTTCTCTGTGCTATTATCGTTTGATGTCGTACCGCGAATTCCATGATATGGGGTACTGTAGTCTCTGATTTGATGATATGAATTCAATCTATGCTTTGCTTCCTCTAGTGTGGCCAGCCGGCACTTAGGGTTTCAATCTCAATTTATTGTCAAAAGCTTCTGGTAGTCGGGTTGAGATAGCGTGGATGATGTCAGCTTTTTAATGGTATGCATTTGATCTTCTTTACCCTTCTTCCACTTTTGAGGTTGAATTCAATTCGACAGCTGAAGTTTGATGGTGTATGAATAAAGTATTATCTTCCTTCGGAAAGAGGCTGAGAGTAGGGGTGAACAAACACACCCGCAAACCGACCTACCTGTCCAACCCGATCCAATCCACCCGTATTTATCGCTAAAACGAAGGTTTTGGGTTGGGTGAGGGTTTTCTTTTGTACAACCCGCCTCTTTTGGGTTGGGTTTGGATTTTGGATTACACAACCTGTAGAACCCGATCCAACCCGTGTTCCAACTATTAGTATGAGTTCGTATCTAAAAATATTTATGTCGTATATAGCCATACTTATGAGAAAATTAAGATATTTCGTCATGTTTTCCTATCATGGTCTCCATAATCTAATGCATTCTTCGACTAAAAGTTTAGACATAAATTGAATATAGTTATGATTCACATAATCATTTTTCTTGTGTACAATTTTAATAGAATAATATATTATGGATGCGTTTGTTTATAACTTTTTTAGCCTATTTCAACAAATATCGTGAAAAGAACAAGACATATGTTGAAGTAAATCACATTTTATTAAAATTCAAATAACATGTGTGAATTTTGATCCTTTCACCTCGGTTTATTCGTTTAAAATTTTAATTAGTTATAAAATATTTTTATGATGTATAATAATTATATATTTTTATGTTGGATTTGGTTTTTACTTAAAAATATCGCCAACCCGACCCAACCCAATTAGAAACAAACCGTAGAGTTTAAATATTCTTGGGTGGGTTTGGATTTGATAATTTCCAAACCGTAGTTCATGGGTTGGGAGATTAAAATGGTTAAACCCGAACCAACCGACCCATGTACACCCCTAGCTGAGAGACTGTCATGCTTGCTGAAGCCTGTGCAGCTATAACAGGGACAAAATCCCCCGTCACGTCCCATAGTTAGCGACGTGTTTTAGGAACAAATTTAGGTACAAAAGTTAACAGCAGGCCTAGAAAAGACCGAACATAGAACTGCACAACCTATTTAAAACCAAACCAAATCGCGTAGTTCAGTTCCAAGGCCAATCTTATCCTTGCCATGATTCCAGTGCTTGGGGCCAAAATCAGATGACTTTGGCATGTAAGGCAAATGTGATATGTGATGTATATTAGTCTGTCTAGTCATGAACCTTTTTTGTTTTGTTTTGTGATGTAAGGCCATGATTTGTGTTGTTATACTTTTATCTAATGCAAATTGGTCTGACCTGTGATGTAAATTCTGTTTTGGTATGTTGTAAGTAGGATTATTCAGTTATCGGTATTTATAACACCGATAATCAATTATAATTAGAAGTTAGCGATGTGGTTACTTGTAAATTGAAATAGTTTACGGTGTATGCAATAATCGAGCAGCTGGTTAACTGTTGATTAAAAATTAATCGAATATAAATATCTATATTTCTCACCAGAAAATAGCAATGTCCTCTCAAAAATCCCATGAGCTTTCTAACAAACAATCCCCCTTCCCCATCCTTTCCTCCCATTGTAAACCTTAAATTCAAAGAGGTAAATAGCATCATTTTTTTTATTAAAATGTCAACATCCGTATTGGATGGAAGACTAGATCACTTATGTTGGAAGAAAGATAGACCGTACTTCAATTTCTTCTATCAATGACTTCTCTCACTCAGTTCGCACTCATAACTCTTTTCCTTTCTCTCTTCACTTTCTTCTCTAAGTCCTAATAGAGACAATGTAACAATGATAAAAAGGTAAAAATACAGAAAAGAACACATACATATGTAGAGAAAATCTACAAAAATGTACAATTAAAAAAGAGGCTGGAGCATCTCAACGCTTTTCTGAGCAAGGTATTGTTCGCTTTGGGCTAGGTCTACTACTACTCTTGGCCTCAAGCTACTATTTAATCAACAAGATGTAAGGTTTGAATGTGAATTACACCAAACTGACAAAGAAAAGAAACAAAAATAACTACCATGAAGATCACTAAGTGTTGCTTAGGGTTAATTAATCCCTCTGGTAAAGGGTTGATATGGGATGAATACGAGTCAATGAAGGCTTCCTAAATTGCAAGGAATCGCCTAGACTAGTGATTAAGTCGATGGTGATGCACTTAGTCACAATTCTAGGCAGCTAGGTTTACTCAATGTTTATGTAACCAAATAGATGCCTAGAACACTAGGGTTATACTCCTTAAACATATGAAAATGAAGTTGCAACCCAATGATCATGCAATTATAAGCTCACTTTATTGATGGGTGTTCTAAATCTTGACCTAATTAGATGGTCTCTCTTAGGAGTTAGGTCAAGAAACCCCAAATCCAAATACTCAACACAAGCACAAGTTGAAATGTTCGCTCAGGTCATGGCCAGAGTCAAGCAGTCACCTATGCCCTGACTATGTTCACGAGTTGAATCTCAAGTTCATGGTTGTACTTTATGTCGCGTTTGTGATCTTCCGTCTATGAGTGTGCCTGTGAGACCCTCTGCTTATCATTCTCCATTTTTCTTAGGCCCACAATCAAAAAATGCTCACGATGGTGACATGTCCGTATGTGATCTTGTTGTACCAATTGTTCGTATTGTGAAAGACTATTCCACAAGCTAAAATACTCAAAATATTAGGATACTAGTATATGTGTGCATATAGGTCTACAAGCGATATGATAATCCTAGAGCCATGGTCATGACAATATTATAGTTGTTTTTGGTGCATCTTGACGAATAGGCTTCATATGATAGTTGTCTTTGGTGCAATTTCACATATTGTTGCACAAGTTTATCAATGATCCAAAAACCATTGGACAATGTTGTCCGGAGAGAATCGATTGTCGGGATTGATAGGTGTAGAAGATGAAAAAGCTGAAGAAAAGAAGATCAAGAATTCATCTTTGTATCATATATACTTAATGGAAAGTGAGCACTCTCCCATTCGCCATTCCCACTCAAGCATAAAAGCTAAAAGCCCAACAAGGGCACAACCATCGGGCCACGACGCCATTGGCGCATTCTCGAATCGAACCCGCTGCTGTGTGTAATCCCACTACCATCCTCTCAACTCTGAAGACTCTATAATCTTTTCTTTTGCCTGCTGGCTGCTGACATTCGGCTTCGGTTGCGCTCTACTTTCCCCCTTTCTGTTTACTTCCTCTGATTTCTTCCATGGCTACTCAAACCTCGGTCATCGCCTGGTCAGCAAACTCCCTAACCTCCAACTTCCACTTTCCCGCTTTTACTTTTGCTCTTCCTTTCGATTTTCTGAGCTGGTTTAGTTGGGGAGTCGCAGGGGCTCGGGCGAAGACGGGCAACTGGGGATAGGCAGCAATGAAGAGAGGGAATGGGTTTGCATAGTCAAAGCACTCGAGCCCTATAAAGTTCGCTCTGTTGTTGCTGGCAGTCGCAACTCTCTCGCCATTTGTGATGATGGCAAGGTATATGTTTCTTCAACCACTAAAAAAGGCTGCTTCTTTGTCTCTCCATTCTTGCCCCTCTGAAATTTGGGTTGCTTTTGTAGTTGTTTACATGGGGTTGGAACCAGAGAGGAACGCTGGGCCACCCACCTGAGACAAAGACTGAAAACGTGCCTAGCCAGGTTAAGGCCCTTGTCAATGTCAATATTGTGCAGGTAAAAATCCCAACTCTTCAACTGTAGTATGGCTCTTTCCCGCTTGCGATTGACTGACTGTTATTTCGAATTGGGGGGTTTTTCCAACTGTTATAGGCGGCTATTGGTGGATGGCATTGCTTGGCTGTTGATGATCAGGGACGTACTTATGCTTGGGGTGTGTACATATATGGCTCTATTGTATTCATTTATCTGCTTACCAGTTTCTTCTCAATCTCACTCGTCTGTGTTCGAATTGAACTTGGCTGAAGTAATGCTTATAGTTGTATCACCTATGTATGTGTCATCACTATAGGTGGGAATGAGTATGGGCAATGCGGTGAAGAGCCTGAGCGGAATGATGAAACTGGGAGACTACTTAGGAGGGATATAATGATTCCTCAACGTTGTGCTCCAAAGCTTGTTGTTCGTCAGGTACTTTACTTTTTCTTCAGAGGGTATAGTTGGATGGAGCTCAAAAGAAGCATTCTTCATCTTCTAGTTGTTGAATTCAGAGAACGTGCTTTCGAAAGCTAACTTATCCATATAGTTCACAAGCTGCATACTTAAAAATATTATCATAGGTGTCGTATCTGTAAGTCATGAAGAGAACACGTTATCAACTTTCCTTACCTAGTACGGTTCTTCTGTTTCTTTTGGATGATAAAACGTACTTGTATGTTTGATGTTACTGACATTAACGAAGGGAGCTGGTAGAAAAGCTTAGTTAGTTTAGTATCAGCAGCTCCACAGAAACGGGGAGTCATATTATGCCCGATTTTGCTATAAAGTTGATTTGAAGCAGGAGCAGTGAAACTTTGGTATAAAAGAATCAGATAAGCCTTTCTCAGACAAGGAAACGTCATGAGGACCGCCACTTACATTTCATACATCTCTTTTTTTTATAGGTAGCAGCTGGAGGTACACATTCCGTGGTGCTTACACGTGAAGGTCATGTATGGACATGGGGCCAACCATGGCCTCCTGGAGACATGTACAAATTCCATCACTTGATATTTATAGTTTCACTATGCATATGCATTAGATGCCGACTTCTAGTTTCCATTATGCCCTACAGGCCTGTGAGGCTGCTCTTGATTGTTTGATTTGTACTTATCTCGAGACTGTTGGTTTACTTGTAGAAAACAAATCTCTGTTCCTGTACGTGTCCAAGGGCTTGATAAAGTGAGGCTTATTGCAGTCGGAGCATTCCATAATTTAGCGCTTAAAGAAGATGGAACACTGTGGGCATGGGGCAATAATGAATATGGGCAACTTGGGACTGGTGATACCCAGCCAAGATCACAGCCTATTCTTGTCCAAGGCCTATCTGGTCTCAATTTGGTATGTGCTACTTAATAGTTTAATTTCTTGTTGTTTCACCTCTCTTTTCTCTTGCCTTCTGCTTGGTTCCAATTTCTAGTTCCTCTTGCTCTACAGTGTTGAGACTTGTTATTGCTAGGCATGAATCAAAGTTGATTGTGATCCAATTTTTTCTCTGGAATATGGTCCTTCAATTAAAAGGGTCCCCGCGTATTCTGCAAGTTTAGTTTTCTGGAGCTGTTTCTCTGAGGTTTTCCTGTTACTTAAGAGAGTGGTTCCACTGAATCCGATCCCCTCTTAAATAAGCTACCTTTTGGCTTAGCCTTTATGTGGTAAGGCTTAATACTTTCCATGCCTGATTAACTGCCAAACAGATAGAAAAATACATGGAACTGATCAAGCTGATTTAGGAGTCTCCAATCTGTAATCCATCTGCTTTACCTACAGAATTTACCTCCCAAACTTATACGTGTGAAATCATAGATCTGGAATAGACGATAACATGATGGTTTTTTGTACTGGAAATTTCGTGCTTAATGCTGGCTTCAATTCCTTGCTAAATTGTGCATTGATATTTACTAAGCCTGGATGATATGCACATCTGAATACATTCTTAGGTTGATATCGCTGCTGGCGGATGGCATTCTACTGCATTAACTCAGGATGGAGAGGTATTCTTATGCACTATGGCTTTTGCCTTTGTCCTAATGATTATATGGCCATTGGTCTTGTGACTTGCTTACTTTCATAAATCTAAATATTGGAGAAATTATAGTAATCAGGCCTGTCATCTGAAGCTTAATGGGAAACTTATAAGCTTTCTTTCCTTCTCTTTTGTTTCAACAAAAAGTTACCTTTCGTAAGATATCGAGTTCGAAAGTGTTCGAACTTTGACTCTTTTTCATCATTATAGCCTCAGGAGCCTTATGATGGTACATGGGTTTAAAATTAAATGGTGAACCTTCTGTTTTCATAAACAAGAAATCTGATTACCGGAGTAAAAAACAAGAAATCACGGACTTTTCCATCTCTGAACTATCTTCTAACGATATAAGTTAATCTTTTTTTTTTTTTTTTGGCTTCCCCTTTTGTTTGGATGTATATGAAATTGGATTTGAGTTTCATAGGTGCTGTCAATATTGCAGAGTAGTTCCTGTAAATGCCATCTAAATTCAGTTGCCATTGAGGGTTGGAAGTTTGAGTTTGTCAGTGTAGATCCTGTTGCAAATCACAACTGACAGGATAAGCTCTTTATACTAGCGCTGTTTGTTTATCTCAGGTGTATGGTTGGGGAAGGGGTGAACATGGAAGACTGGGTTTCGGGGACAACGACAAGAGCAGTAAAATGGTACCACAAAAGGTTAATCTTTTGACAGGGGAGGACATAGTTCAGGTAAACAAAATCATTTCTAATTTGTGATATCCAGACTCTAGATTGATTGCCGAGTCAAAAAGAAGTCCAAGTGATGGCCCCCTGAGCAATCAGACTACAACAATGAATATCGTTTTTGGATGGTGATGCAGGTATCATGCGGTGGGACGCACTCAGTAGCAATGACACGAGATGGACGGATATTCTCGGTGAGTAGTATAATGCATGGTTGATGAGATGATGCCTGCAAAAAACTAGAATAGAGAGTGAATTAGCTTTGTTACACAATGATGGTAACAACTGTGGTTGGCGTGCAACAGTTTGGGAGAGGGGACCATGGCAGACTGGGACGCGGGAGGAAGGCTACAACTGGGCACCCGATTGAAGTACCAATCAACATCCCGCCTCCAACTGCCATTCCGAGTGTGAAAGAAGGAGAAGATGAAGGTGAAGGGAAATGGAGGGCAAAGCTTGTTGGTTGCGGGGGTAGACACACATTGGCCATTGTAGAATGGAGCAGCACATGAGCAAAACTCTAACTGGATTCTCTCTGCAAAAGTTTTATGTAGGCAAGTGACAATAAGGGTGGTGAACCCAACTCACCTATCCACCCTGGAAAACACCATGAACTCGGGGTTCCTTATGAGTTATTATATATATAAACTTACCCTGTTTGTGGGGTTGTGATGATGATGCTATGGTATATGGGTATATTTGTGGGTCAAGTTCCTGTTTACAGTGTTTGGGATGTGAATGTGTAACCATTGGTTCATGGTTCATATTAGTCTGCTTCAACTGGAGAAGATGGAATATTTCAGGCAGGGTTCAGAGTGAATGTAATGCAAAAAATACATAAATCTGTGTCTCTGAGGCAGAACTGGTGCAGGCTTTGACGCGGAGGAGCACTGGAGATTGGTTCTCTGTTTCTGTCTGCCGGTGGCTTTATTATTTCTTCTGAATACTCGATGGAAGTGCAAATGGAAGGTGGATCCAAGATTTGCATGAATTTGACAGAAGAAGTGGGTGGTATCACTGGTATGTTGCTTATCCTATGACGGTGAATGGTGATGGTGGTGGAAGAGCTCGTCCAATCCAGACTTGCCACGTAATTCTGCCCCCAATATAGAGATGTAATAAGTGATAAGTGGGGGTAAGAATGACCGGGTATCTCGAATGGTAATGGGTAGGTTCGAGGTGGATATCTCGATACTTTTATCCGCTTCGTAGTGGGTTAGGTAATTCATTATTGGGTGCAGGTTGGAGTAGGTCGATCCATATGGATATGTAGTTTGAAAGGAAAACGTTAGAAATATTCTTTTTCCATTAAAAAAAATCAAGAAACAAACTACAATATGATAGAAGTAGTTAAAATTATTCATAAAATTGAGATTCTCGCCTATTTACAACTTCATATATCATGATGTAATAAAAGTAAAATCGTAAGTAATTTGAATAAAATTACATGCAGCTAAATACCCATTTGCTTCGTACTAAGTGTGGGTCAGGTCGAATAACACCCACGCCGATATTGTGCGGGGCAGGTCGACATATTCTCATATGATATTTGGAGGGGGGGAACGTCGATATTCAACTATTTGTACAACGATTATATAGAGAGAAAAAAATACTTCATAAATAAATGAGAAATATGATAGAAGGAATTATTTAAAGACAGAGTCTTATTGTCTTACAATTTCTTTGGGATTAACATGTGATTTAAGAAAGATCAAAAGAGGAGAAATACATGTAGATATTAATGCAAATCATGATAGAACCGATCGAAAACGGGGCCCAAGTAAAACGGAAGCAATGCACATACCTCTCAACTCACACCACTTCAGGTTAGATAATACCCGCTCCATACATATCCGAACAAATCGAGTCACCTAGATCAGAAATTTCCATTATTACGTGCAAGTGCAACAGCAACACAAAAGAGAGATAGAGAGAGACCACTCTTCTATAATGTAATCTTCATTTCCTCTTTTTTTTTTCACGAGACCACTAGAACTACTAACCTAAAGGTAGGTAAAGCTGCTTGCTTTGCTTGGTAAAGATTGATTGAAACTTTGAAATGGGGGCCATGAATATGATAATGATATGACGGTCCCATTGTTATGTAAAGTAATTAACTATAAACCCGCTTGATAATGACTAATTACTCTCCCCTCCTCTCCTCTCCTCTCCTTTGCTTTCTGCATTCAACCATATCTTCTTTCCTTTTCTGTTCTTTTCTTGAATGCTTCCTCCCCTGTTTATCCATCAACGGAAACCATTGATTCGACGACACAGAGCTAGCTGCTAAAATCTCCCTACACTTAACAACAAGATTCGCATTCCGCATTCAGATTCCACGACCGTAAATCCTCTCCCTTTCCCCCCCGACTCCCACAGAGCCAAATTAAGTTTGCAGGCCGCTCTCAGTCAGTCAGTCAAGTCAATTGCTGCCGACTTTGCAGTCATATTCATCATCTCAGAGACTAAATCCTCCATTTCCCTTTTCTTCCCTCAGCCACCTCAGGTGATTAATTCCTTAATTAATTCTCATTCTCATTTATTTCTTCATATATATATAGTACCGCCCCCTTTCTAATTCTACAGTCAATTTACAGAGCACCTCTCCACCGCCTTCCCCTGTTTTCCATTTCCTCCTCCTTCCTTCACTCCCACCACCAGCAGCAGGAGGGAGAGAAAACCCTCAATCGGCGCCAACCCGTGAGAGAGATTCTTCTGCCCGGCAAGAAGATGGGCTCCTCCTCCCGGCGACGCCAATGTGGCGGTGGCGGTGGCGATGCTCTGTTTTCCCATTCTCACCTCCTACTTCTCCTCCTATGGTAAATTCACTACAGCTTTTTTTTTCTTTTTTCTCAATTTCCATTCACCAGCTTTTGCTTTGCGTGTGCCTTTCCTTTTTTTTTTTTCCTGCTTTTTTACTGTTGTTTCGATTCCAATTTGCTCATTTTGGCCGACACCATTAGTAAATTTTGATTCGCCATCATTTCTAGCACAACAGAGAATACTACCATGAATAAAGAAAAGGAAAAAATAAAAATCATTGCTGCAGTTGCTAGAAATCCTCCCAATCTGTTCCCTTTTTCGCCTCCTCTTTCCCCCTTTCTCCGGCACCGCCCGGACCCTGAATTATTATTGCTTCAACATGATCAGAATTTGTGAGACTTGTTTATTTCTGGCATGTTTTCTCTGTAAAGCTTCCATCTTTCGCTTACAGAGTCTTCCCACAAGAAAGAGCAAACAAAGAAAAGTTCGGTCATCTTTCAACGACAACAAAAACAAAACAAAAAAACACAAAGCTTTTGACTTTAAATTACTATGTTCTGATACGGACATGACTCTGTATCGTCGTCACTAGAATTTTTAACAGTAGTCATGGTAATTTCTCCGATTTTTATCTTTTCCTGAACACAAAATCGGTTTGAATTAAATTGCAACAAGTTAAGGCAAAGAACCAAATTGAATGACAAGCTTTTATACACTGGATTTTATATTCATTGCCCCCTCATAAATTAGTGGCGTAAATGAAAACAGTTTTCTTTTCTTTTCGGGTTGGTTTACGTTTCAGGTTTATAATTACCAGTTATCTGAAGTTATTAGTTGTCTCGGAATGGAAGGGTAAAAAGAAGAAGAAAACAGAGTTCAAATCATCTTTAGTCCATACCTACAAAATTCTGAAAGAATGGGACAAAGAAAACAGCATAAATGTCCAACATTTGAGTACGCTAGGGAGAGAAAGGCGATTCAATTAGATAGTGTTATTAGTAGATGACCAAAAAGTTAAGGATTTGCTCAATCAAACCAAGCAAGAATTTCTGTCTTCTGATCACCAACTTCTATTTTTATCCCTTGCAGTGTCAACCTGCTCTCGTCATCATCAACAGCTGCAATCACATGGCCGTCGGTAGGCGGCGGTTTCGCCTCCGGCGCAATCGACCTCGGCGGCGGCCTCCACGTCTTCCAAACCGCCTCCTTCGACCAAATCTGGTCCACCCAGCAGGGCGGACCGGACGATTTGGGCGCCTCCTTCTTCGAACCCACCCAACTGCCACCCGATTTCCACATGCTCGGCACCCACAGCCAGCCCAACACCAACCCTAACCCTAATCTCCACGGCTGGATCCTCGCCGGCAAAGACGCCTCGACCGCCGACGCACCAGCAGCATTGAAGCCGCCGGTCGATTATACCCTAATTTGGACCAGCTCCGACGCCGAAATCGACCAACAAGAAGGAGGAATCGCCTATTTCTGGCTCCCGGTCCCGCCCGACGGCTACAGATCCGTCGGCCACGTCATCACCACCGCCTCCCCTGCCAAGCCCCCGCTCGACAAAATCCGCTGCGTCAGATCCGATCTCACCGACCAATGCCAGGCCGACGCGTGGCTCTGGGGCCCGACCGACGCCGGCGATCCGGATCTGACCGGATTCAACGTTTTCAACCTCCGGCCTGGCAACGGATCCGACGCCGCCGGCGTCCCCGTCGGCACATTCGTCGCCCAATCCTCCGGCCTTCCCGGATATCCAACTGTCGTCGCCTGCCTGAAGAATCAGAATTCCGTCAACGGGTCGGCATCTTCGATGCCGAATCTAACGCAGGTGGAAGAACTATTCAAAACATACGCTCCCTGGATTTCTCTCCATCCCGACGAGGAATTCCTCCCGTCCACCGTCGATTGGTTTTTTGCAAACGGATCGCTCCTATACGAGAAAGGGAAAGAATATAACCCGACCCCGATCGACCCGACTGGTTCGAACCTCCCGCAGGGAGGTTCGAACGATGGGGTCTACTGGCTCGACCTGCCGGTCGAGTCATCGGATAAAGACAGGATGAAAAGGGGACAGCTGGCAGGCGTGAAGGTGTATTTACACGCGAAGCCCACATTGGGGGCCACATTTACGGACATCGCCGTGTGGGTGTTCTACCCGTTCAACGGGCCGGGGAGGGCAAAAGTGGAATTCATCAAGAACGTGAAGCTCGGGAGGCTCGGGGAGCACGTGGGGGACTGGGAGCACGTGACGCTCCGGATCAGCAACTTCAACGGGCTGCTCCAGAGCGTCTACTTCTCCCAGCACAGCGCCGGGTCGTGGGTCGGGTCGGCGGACCTGGAGTACCGGGGCGGGTCGCGGCCCGTGGCGTACTCGTCGCTCCACGGGCACGCGATGTATCCCCGCCCCGGGCTGGTGCTGCTGGGTGGCGGCGGGGGGAGCATTGGGATTCGTGACGACACGGCGGAGGGCGGGGCGGTGGTGGACACGGCGGCGGGGTTCGTGGTGGTGGCGGCGGAGTATCTCGGGAAGGGCGCGGTGGTGGAGCCGATGTGGCTGAATTACATGAGGGAGTGGGGCCCGAAGATCGATTATGACGTGGACGAGGAGCTGGCGGATGTGAGGAAGTTGCTGATTGGGAGGATGAGGGATGAGTTTGATAAGATGGTGAGTGGATTGCCCAAGGAGGTGCTTGGGGAGGAAGGGCCCACTGGGCCCAAAGTTAAGGCCAGCTGGGCTGGGGATGAAGTTTAGTTTAATTAATTAATTATTATTATCAGCTAAGGGAAGCTGGTCATTGTTTTAGGGACATGCATGATTTTTAATAGATTTAATTTGATTGTTGTGTGTAATTTGTATGTTAGTGTGAGATCATACGATTAAACTAAATGTGAATAGTCTAAAGAATTGTAGCAACCAGTTGAGAGATTGAGTGTGTCACACTCTTCCTAGAGTTGGTGAAGGAGGTAGATATAAAATGGACTGGATCAGAGCTAAGAGCATCATAATCCATGGTATGAGTTAAGGCGGGGTGGCTATACGGTCCGGTCCGGTTAAATTGGCCCAAATTGATCCGGTTCAGTCCGGGTTTTTTGAAAATATAAGGACCGAAGATTGAATTGGATACAGTCCGGTCTTGACCCGGTCCGGTCCCAATTCGGTCTTGATTTTATATTGAGATTGTGGGAATTTGAGTGGCCTAAGGCCTAAAAGGGTGAGGAGTTGGTTAAGTTTTGTACTAAGTGAAAAGGTTTGTGACCGTTTATGCAAATTACCCTTAAGTTTTGGGTGTTGGGCTCTCTTATCCGGTCTTTATCCGGGTTTTTACCTCAAATCTAAGCCCAAAGATTGGATTGGATTGTTTATTATACGGTCTGGTTTCCGGTTTTTCATCCGGTCCCGGTCCAAATAACCAGCCCTTAAGCCTCATTAAACCCTTAATAAAATAATATGATGATGGTTAAAAGGCGCAAAAAAAAAAAAGCTATGAGGTATGACATTTCTCGTATCAAGCTGTGATAGGATCTCTCGGGATTGAAGTGATTTTAAAAGAGTCTTTATTTTGGAAATGTATTTATGAATTTCAATTTTGGATATCCGTCTTCTCTTTATTTGAATTTCATGTGGATTTTTAGTCCAAGCGAAAAAAGAGAATTCCCCACTAGCTCAAGTAGAAGACTCAAACTATCCTTCCAAAATCGAAGGTGGGTCTCACTCACTCACTCACTCTAGTACTCAAAGGCGTATAGTTCCTAATTCCTATACAAGCTGCACTAAGGTGTGGAAAATGGGTGTTGACTGTTGAGGCGTCCAAGGGAACTACAGATTCCAAAGTGATTGTAGATTGCCTGAAAAAAGATCGAGAGTATCCTTAACAAAAATGGGTGTTCTTATTAACTCAAGTTCGATTATGTCACATTTCCTTCTTGAAGTATATGCTTATGATTGGTGGTTAACAATACTGCCCGAAGTAAGGGATAATAATACTGCCCACCAGTTCACATGGGACAATTTCATCCGCTTGTTCAAGCGGATGGACGATTCTAAATCTTGATTTTGCATGTAAGGTTTGTACATATAAGTTTTATACCTTATTCGCTCCCTTATTTTAATTATATGAATGTGCTAGGCTGGCTGCTGAGGTGAAGGCCATATATCATATACTTGTTTACTCATTAAATCAATACCTCATTACTTGTTTTACTCACAGAATCACCAATAATGAACCCTTTAATTTCTTTCAGAAAATACACATGCAAAAATCTCGATCTAGCAGACAACGTATATAATCCAGCTACCATGTCTACATGCTTTGACTTCTTTGTCCTATGTCCGATCGATATCTTCTTATTGTTATCGTTCATTAATCCCTATGGAATCTTCAACATAAGACAGCATGAAACGTGGAGAGAAAAAAAAAACACTTTGTTGGCGCTATTAGCATCGGAACATAATAAAAATTAAGCTCCAGATATTTGATACGTAAAATATATCTGGCATTGAAGTTTATTAATATACAAAATGCGCTGGACTACTCATCGATTTATTGTAAAAGAAATTGTGAATTTTACTCTAGTTGTTAACAAGATTAAGGAACAAGATAGTATAACAACACTCTATTTGTTGTTACCGTAACTACAAGGTTCATTAAGGGCAAAATAGTAATATAACAACAAATTAAAAATAAATAGGAAAACAAATCTAAATGCCCTCCTCCCTCCACAGCAACAATGGCGGCCATCACTGTATCTCCCACAAAACAGATTTTTCCTTTTCTCCGGCGCGGCGCCGATCCTCACCCATCGCCGGCGCCGATCCTCACCCATCGCCGGCGCCATCGCACTAGTCAACTCTCACCCGACCACAACCACACCGCCAACTACTCTGCTTCAACCCGCCTTTCGCCTCTCCTCCGGTCCGCTCCTCTCCCCCACCGGATCTAGTTTTTCTCCGGCCGCGATTACTGGCAGCTGATGGAAGCCATTGGCTGCAAACCAAAAATCATCATTGACTAGCGAGCCGCCGGCAAGGTGCGACTTTCTGAAAGAGAGAATCAAAAGAACCACCACAATATCCTCGGCCCTCCATGACTGTCGCTCCAACTTCTGGATCTGGATTTCAGATCTGGTGGTCAGGGAATCGAAGAAGATTTCGCCGTGACCTAAGCCGGAAGGTAGTTTCGGATTTCATAACGGCGGCGCGCGGGATTTTTGGGAGTGTTTCTCCTGGAACGTGAAGTTCCGAATGGAGAGTTCTCATTCCTTCACTTTTTATCCGGTTGTGGTCGCGGTGGATCTGCTCTGACAAGTCTCATCTTCCCTTTACTTCTCACAAACCAAATACACCTCGATCTGGAAAGCGTCATCTTCCTCGTCGTCTATGGAGATTTTCTTTGACGGTGTTTGGGTGAATAGGGCTCCATTCTTCAGGTTAGGACTAGATTCGACAGAGAGTTGCTTCATCGATTGTTAATCGAACTCAGCTCGACCAACAACGACGATGTCGTCCGCGCCGCCGCTCTCAATCAACGCCCAGAAGCCTTTATCACAACATGATCTTAGGAGGAGAGCAACTGGATGATGTATTTTGCTGCTTTTGGTCTTGTCAGCAGGCCCCAACCTTCATATTTTGTACTAGTTTGTGTGCATAAAGGAGGGTGCCATCGAAGTAGTATTGACTTAGGAATGCAGGATATTAGATGATAACCATGCTTAACTTTTGTATTTTGTATAGAGCATGTTGTGGTCATGAACCGAAGTAGAATGTAAAGAGCTTAGCTTAGGCTGCTTCTTCTGCATTTTTCACTTAAGAATGCAGGGGAAATTTGTCAAGAACCAGTTGATCCCAATAACTCGAGTTTTTGGGAGAAGGTTATGCTGGATCTTATACCACTCACTCTCTAACACGCCCCCTCAAACGAAAGTCAACCCACGGGCTTGAAGTTTGCACAGGCCCACCATACCATGTGCTTGAAAAACAACAGTTAATATTGGGGGTCGTGGAGATTCGAACACATGACCTTTCGGTTCTAGGCTCTGATACCATGTCAAGAACCAGTTGATCCCAATAACTCGAGTTTTTGGGAGAAGGTTATGCTGGATCTTATACCACTCACTCTCTAACAAAATTAGATGGGGAAATGCTCCAATGCATATACCAACTATGTTGCTACTTCCTTTCTTCTGCATTTTTCCTTATGTATCCACAATTAATGTATGTAATATTAGAAACCTACTAATACATATCACAATTACGATCAACCAAACCAAAAAAACATATCAGAAACCTCCTGATACGGATCGAGAAACTCATAAAGCAAACCACAACTATTTCTAAAACACAACAGAAACCTCCTAATGCAGATCACAAACACGGTAAAACAATCCACAAAAAACGTATCAGAAACCTCCCAATCCATACTAAAAATCCCGTAAAACAAACCAAAAACCCCCACAAAGCATACCATAAATATTCCGAAAGCACACCAGAAACCTCATAATACAAACTACAAACAAGATAAAGCAAACCACAAACCTCCTATTGCAGACCACAAATATATTAAAACAAACCAGAAACCCCACAAATCAAACCATAAAATTTTCGAAAGCACACCATAAACTTCTTAATGCAAACCAGAAACACAATAAAACAAACTAGAAATCTCCTAATGCATACCACAAATCCCGTAAAACAAACCACAAACCTCACAAAGCAAACCACAATATTTGCGAAAGCACACCAGAAATCTCCTAATGCAAACTACAAACACAGTAAATCAAACCACGAAAAAACAAACCATTAACGTCCTAATGCAGACCACAAATATATTAAAACAAACCAGAAACCCCTCAATGCAAAACACAAAGTTTTTTAAAGCAAACCAGAAACTTCTCAATGCAAACCACAAACACGATAAAGCAAACCACAAAAGGCATACGAAAATATGAGAAACCAAACCATAAATCTCACAATGCAGACCATAACATCCGGTGGTCTTTGACCGTTGACCGGTCAACGAAAATCGTTGACCAAACTCCGATGACCGTCAGTTACCAGATTCCGGCGCCGATAGGCATATTCCGGCCCCGATGACTAGATTCCGATGCCGGTAAGCATATTCCGACCACGGTGAGCATATTCCGGCGACGGTGGCATATTCCGATGACAAAATAGCATATTCCGGCGACAAAAAGCATATTCCGGTGTCCGGCGCCCGTTGACAGAATTCCGGCGACCAAAATTTTGGGCCAAAAAAATAAAAAAATATTTTTTTTATTTTATTTTTATTTTTTTTATTATTTAAACATATTTTTCATAATGACAATTATACCCCTGCTTTGATTTTACACTAGGTCAACTCATCTAATAAAAAGTCATCACAACCCTAGCTTCCTATTGGTTGGAGACTAGTGTTGTTACAATAACAACACAAGGAGTGTTGTTATAGTATCTAGTCCCCAAGATTAAGCTTCATTTGATACCCGGTAAGGCATCATGATGGAGAATTATGCAATATCATTAAGCCTCGTGATCATAGCTGCTAGCACCTTATGAGCCCTCTTAATTGACCAGTCTAGCTTGTAGGTTCAATTGTGGATCATAAGGGCTTTCGTTTGCACAGGTCTGAATACACGATATTATGTGCTTCACAAATGGGGTCACCGGGATTCGAACACAAGACCTTTCGGTCACATAAGGCTCTGATACCATGTCAACAACCAGTTACTCCCAATAACTCAAGTTGTTGGGAGAGATTCAATCGTGAATCACTAACACTGAACCCTCTAAGCTGGTATCTCTAGTCTCCTGGTCCTGGGCTGGCTAGGGTGAAAGGCTATACTGTGCATACTTCGTCTTCTCATAAATTCGCATATGATGATACATTTGTTTAAAAATATATATGCACATGCAACAATCTCCATCTAACAGTCAACGTTTATAATCCATCTACCATGGCTACTTTTGTTTTAGGGTTCGCTTGGAGAAAACATTGAATTCAGCGAATCCATAAACTCAATAGAAAAATTTAGGGTTAATATTTTCGTATGGCCTGAACTTTGACCAAAATAAACATCCTGGTCAATCTTTTCGATCTATAACATCCTGGCCCGAATTATACACCAAAATAAACAATTTGGCCAAACCCGATGTTTGACCGTTAACTTCGACGGTCAAACGCGTTGACTAACGGTCAACGCGCCACGTCACTGTCAAGTCAAAAGATCTAATAAGTATTTGATTTTTTTTGTTTTTTATTTTTGGTTTAACTAAGGTATTAGATGATTTTTTTTAATTTATAATAATTTAAAATTAGGGAATGTGTGGAAATTGTGGATTATTTTAAATATTTTATGCTGACTTGGCAGTGACATGGCGTGTTGACTAACGGTCAACGCGTTTGACCGTCCAAGTTAACGGTCAAAAGTCGGATCTGGCCAAATTGTTTATTTTGGTGTATAGTTCTGGCCAGGATGTTATAGATCGAAAAGATTGGTCAGGATGTTTATTTTGGTCAAAGTTCAGGCCATACGAAAATATTAACCCAAAAATTTATAAAAGTGTTCTTCTAAAAGCTCCAGTTATTTTTCAAAAAGATACACCAGAGCTTAGCTAGTCCATAATTTAACAAACCTACGAATCATCAACAAGTCAACATACATGAGATATAGACCTGTTCATAACCCAGTGGTCGAGTTGGCTTGCTGCCTACAATGTTGATATATCGCATGATCTCAAAACGAGCCAACTCACGAGCTGAGCTCAACAATCCACCGGGTCCAGCTGGCTCGCGAGTCTTGCCGGCTGAACAAGATTTATCTCAGGTTCGACGTGTTAAAAAGGGAATCGAGTTTCAAACGAGCTTTTTCCGAGTTGAACATCGAGCCGTTCTTGAACAACTCGCCATACTCAAACTATATATATATATATCATATTGGCGAGTTCTACGGGTACCCTAGATTACACCCGGGGTACCGTAGAAGCCACTATATATATATATATATATATATATATATATATATATATATGTGTGTGTGTGTGGTGACTACTTCGGTGCACTCACAAAAACGAGTGCGTTCAATGCACCCTACTCAAAACTAGTCTTAAGGTGTGGGATTTTGAATTTTAATTTGTAGAATTAGTGTAATATGATGATATAACATATGATAACAACTAATTAGTGGATTACCCTAAGCCCTAGACCTCCAATTTTGAGTTCTATCCCTAAACCCCAAATTGTAAACCCTAACCCTAAATCTCTAAACTCTAAATCCTTCAAATTAAAGTAATTCTTCAATGGTTTTTGTGCAAATTCATGTGCGTTATTGTTCATCACATCATAAGTGATGATTGACATCATTTTGACATAAATCGCATGTTTATAATGACGGTTATGAAGCGGGTGCACTAAATGCACCCAAAAAATTGAGTGCACCGAAGACGCCACCATATATATAATAGAAGTTTTCATTGGATAATTACAAGAAAATACCCAAACTAACCAAAGTTGTCATTTCGATCAACACCTTCTTGATGAGATTGGGCCAGGGTATAGGTCGAGATATCAAGGTCAAGGACAAACAGGCACGTAAACATGAATCTGGATGAAGGTGTCTGCCCGTTGAGCAAACTTAAAAAGGAAGGGCATTTATCAGTTTCGTACAACGTAAACACGGCGTGTTCAGCCTGAACTCTATGAACAATTCTTAATGTGTGAAAAAAGCTTAATTCAATTGATTTAGATATGAAAGACGGGCACGCTTTAGTGATATGATGAATTCCTTTTTTCCTGAGAGTGTTAGCGATGATGACGCATAGCCGGCTGGAAGACCGGTATATAAAAGAGAGATTGTATCGAATAAGTTAGCGATAAGATATTAAGTACTTTATACTGAATCTGTGGTTCAATTGTTTTGCACCGCTGCTAAATACCGAATACCAATTTAACCTCCGCGATCGGAGGCATTGCTGATCGATATAGGATTTTACATGATCTCTTATATGACCTAACGATAACCAAAAATAAAAACTTGGATATATCCAAATCTAGGGTTGGTTGTGGAAGAAAGCGAAAATGTCTTACAAGCAAGAATGAAAGGAACTTAAAAGCCGTAGACATCTTCCTTCTCCTTAGTCCTTAGATTATATCTATGGCTGTTACGCAAAACAGCTCGAAGTTGAACCATATCAGGAAAAAAAACACTGGAAACCGACAACGTTACTCCATTATGTTTCTTTCTTTTATTTATGTTAGCTACTTCTAATAATCTTATAATCAACTTACGCCACCGCCAAAGCATAAAATATCGTACATAAAAAAGACCGCGCTAAAATAATTCCTCTCGCCTAAAACGTGGATAAGTACTTCCTTCTACTTCAGATTGTCTTAATTACACATATCTAATTTAACCCAGATCCACCCAGTGCAAAACACAGGCCACGTTCAAGTTTAATTACACATTAATTAGGTCTAGCTAGTCAGCAAATTTTCAAATGGGTCTCATTAAAATCATAATTTATGACGAGTTGAGATCAATACATCGACATCTTTTTGAAGCTCGATAATTTTGACCTTGGCTTCTTTTCTTTTGGAGCAATGAACAAAAGTTAGTCAATCATTTCTAGCACCCACAATACGAATCATTAACATAAAATAAATAAAACGAACACTCATAATTATGCGCGTACAACAACAACAACTCCAATGATGGTGATATTAAGAACTTGTAGCTTTCATGAGCTTTGGAGATTCAAATTAAAATAACATCATTTACGCACACATGCAATTATTAAAAATCTCCCCTATTTTTCCTATGTGGTTTCGCCGCTCTTCAATCGTGAAGCTATATTCCCTTAATATATGAGTTTATTATTATATATGTAATTATGTATGCAACGTATCAAGGTTGTTAACCCGCGGACTGACCCGAACCCAGTCAAGCTAGTGGGTCAATCGTTAATGGGTCAATCGTTTTAGCTCGATTTGGCCCGGAAATATGCAAAGAGTCATTATATTGTACTTATCCTGATAAATTAAATCAAATCTCATCTAACATATGAGTTATAACATATAATATTACACCAAAATAACATGCCGTACTTAGATGCAACAATATAGTGAAAATTCACACACACTTATATAACATCAATATTCAAATGTTCAACTTAGGATTCCAAAGATTGAGTCAGGCGAAAAGAAAAATCAGAAAATAGACGCATTTCGCAAACCAAAGAAAAAAAATGACACAATTTTACCTCCAACCCGGTACCTTGCAGCGATCGACCCGGCGGGTGCGTGCGGTCCGTTTTTCAGACCGGGTCAGGGTCAAAGTGGGTCAACTCGTAGGTCGACCCGCGGGTTGACAACCTTACAACGTATAACCTTATTAATTTCCTACCTATCCAATTATTGTCCCCATCCCACATATGAGGACCAAGCATATTCATTTCTTCCACCATAAATATAACTTCCCATTTTCCCATTCGTTTCTTCACACACTAACCATAATTTCCATCGTCTCCCTCCCTCCAAAATCTCCTCAAATATGGGCAATTGTCTTACCCTCTCCACCGACAAAACCATCGAGCCCGCCCTCCCCGTCGAGACAACCTTCACCCTCCCCTCCCCGCTGCCCACGTGGCCATCCACCGCCGGCCGCTTCGCCGCCGGAACCATCGACCTCGGCGGCGGGCTACAAGTAGCCCAAGTCGCCTCATTCAACAAACTCTGGTCCATCTTAGAAGGAGGCCCCGACGACCTCGGCGCGTCGTTCTACGAACCCTCCCAGCTCCCTCCCAACTTCCACGCGCTCGGCGCGTACTCCCAGCCCAACAACTCCCAGTTCCACCCCTGGCTCCTCGCCGCCAAAGACACCACCACCGCCGGAGGTGATGGTCAACCACGCGCCCTCAACCCGCCGGTGGACTACACGCTCGTCTTGTCCACCGCTGACTTGGACGTCAAGCAACAACCCGCCACCGGCGGCTACATCTGGCTCCCGGTCCCACCCGAAGGCTACAAGGCCGTCGGCCACGTCATCACCACGTCCCCCGACAAGCCCTCCCTCGACACAATCCGCTGCGTCCGGTCCGACCTCACCGACCAATGCGAGCCCGACGCGTCGGTATGGGCCGCCGGGCCCAATGGGCCGAACGTTTTCACCGTCCGGCCTAGTAACAGGGGAACGCAGGCCGCGGGCGTACCGGTCGGGTCGTTCGCCACGGCCGCCCAGGTTTCGACGACGCTGGTCTGCCTGAAGAACACGAGCTATCCAGCAGGCGACGTTGCATCGTCTCCGATGCCGAGTCTCGCCCAGGTGGATGCGATCTACCGGGCGTACGCCCCGCAGATCTACTTCCACCCTAGCGAGAAGTACTTCCCTTCCTCGGTGAACTGGTACTTCTCGAACGGGGTGGATCTGTACGAGAAGGGGAAGGAGACCGAACCGGTACCGGTCGAGCCGAACGGTTCGAACCTGCCACAAGGCGGGTGGAACGACGGTTCGTACTGGCTCGACCTGCCCCGAGACGAGACCGAGAAGGAGCGAGTTAAAAAGGGCCACCCGGAGAGCGCGGAAGCGTACCTCCACGTGAAGTCGATGTTCGGGGGCACATTTACGGATATAGCCACGTGGATCTTCTACCCTTACAACGGGCCGGGGAGGGCAAATGTGGTAATTCCCAACATCCCGCTGGGGAGGATCGGAGAGCACGTGGGGGACTGGGAGCACGTGACGCTGCGGGTGAGCAACTTCGACGGCCGGCTCCGGAGCGTGTACTTCTCGCAGCACAGCGCCGGCGCGTGGGTCGGGGCACCGGGCGTGGAGTTCGAGGACGGGAATAAAACGGTGGCGTATTCGTCGCTGAACGGGCACGCGATGTATCCCAGAGTGGGGTTGGTGATGCAAGGGAACAGGGTTTTCGGGATTCGGAATGACGCGGCGAGGGGCGGGAAGGTGATGGATACGGCGGCGGTCGGGTTTGGGGTGGTGGCGGCGGATTATCTGGCGGGGACGGAGGAGGCGGTGGCGGAGCCGCCGTGGGTGAATTACATGAGGGAGTGGGGACCGAGGATTGATTACGGGGTGGTGAAGCTGCCGCTGCCGATAAGTTTGCCGAAGGAGGTGTACGGGGAAGAAGGCCCCACCGGTCCCAAATCTAAAGGGAGCTGGACCGGAGATGAACGTTGAATTTAATGGCGCGGATTGAAATACCGTATCGGAGGAGGTTGTATCGAAAATGTCATCGGTAGTGTATGTTATGTTGAAATCGTAGTTAAAACTGTTTTATGTCGCTAAATATCATTTACCGGTTTTGTTTCTGATAGTAAATTTTTCTGGTTGAACCGTCGTTACAGTACAGTTTTTCAGATCCTTGTTTAATATATAGCCTTTTCTTCTGTGTTTTTTTTCTTTTTCAGAAATTTATTTGTGGAAAGCGAGAAGCATATATGTTTTTCGTGTTAAACAAGAGAAGGTTGGATTATATTCCATGGGATTAATAATGATGTTTGGATTTTTTATATCGTATTAAAGAAGATTAGCTAGGGTAGGGTTTGTTTGTGTTTGAGAGGGTCAGGTTGGTAACCAAAACAAGTTGAATAATTGTTGGATAGTTTGACGTTGGAGATGGGATCGGTGACGGTGAGTATACCCCGCCAGCGCATTTCGTACCAAACTTTTTAATTTATTAGTTTAGAGAATACTAATGAGCCTAATAATAATAATTTTCTGACGCTAATAACGCCAGGTAAGTGTTTTCCATGTTTAATGTTGTATTATGTTAAAAGATTCTATAGGAACTACATATGAATAATAATAAAAAAATACATGGATTGATAGGACAACAACTTAAGGGCTTGTTTGGAGAATTGGAGTCTCTATCCCAAGATGTAAATAATTCAATAATTCCAACTCTCACAATTATTAAATATAGAATTTAAAGTTTTCATTGGATAATCTTGTATTTTTAATAAACGAGTTCAACTCGAGTTCGAGCTCTTTTTTTTTTACAACAGAGTTCGAGCTCGTTTATTATGAGTCGAGTCTGAATATCAAAATACACTCCAATTTCATTTGCATTCAGGTGCACTATAAGTTAAGTTGAGAATCAAAATATCAAAATTTTGAAGCTCAGGAACATCATCCCCAAATTCACTCCATTAATTTGCAGGATGTTTCTATCTAACAATATCACCGCTCCGTAAACATTAAACATTCCCCTAGTATTGCGAACTTCTAGCCGTTTTCCATAATCTTAAGTTTCTCTTGGGAATCTCTTATTATTCTTTCCACTGTTTCATACAACCACACTTTTAGTTGTTTATCATTAGGGCCGAATCTAAATCCTTTCCATGACGAACTTGTGGATTCAACCAATGAGCGGCTAAGTACAAATGCCTACTAATTTGATCTACACAACTCTCCTCAATAATTTTCGACATGGGTTTATATCTACAAACAAGAAACTCGGGCTAGGGTTGTTTTGTCCATGATGTTGGATCGGGTCTAGGAACTAAGAAGCGAACTTGACCGGTTCATGGCAAAGCCGACCCAATCGGTTGGATTTTGCTTCAATGTACATGAACTTGGAAATCATACAAATCGTAGATTTTAAAGATTTAATAGTTTGTAATCGGGATTTTGTAAGATTTGAAGTTTCGAATATTAGTAGCAAAATCACGCTCAGAACCAATGGATAATGTTGTAAAATCATTAAATTTTAATATTAAGATCGAGATTTTGAGTACATTGAGCCTCAGTTGACTATTACCACTACTTTTAGTTATGCTTTTTAATCAAAATAATCCAACCAATATAAATCATTCACACAACCAAAATAAATTATTATTATTATAACTTCTATGACTAATAAAAAACCAATTAAGTACTCCCTCTGTCACATTACCACCAAAGCAAGTCTAAGAATTATTGTATATCATTCATAAAATTAAAACAAACCATTCAACTATCTTGTCCTTCGAAGGGCTACTACTAAATGTCACTATTGCAAGTCTTGGAAGAAAAAGAGACTTCACTACAAGCTACTGGAACTAATAAGTCTTAAAAATCTCTTGTAGTATGCATGTTAAATGAGTCTAGTTTAGTCCAAGAAGATAGTAAATTATAGGGCAATGTCTATTTTTTACCCAAACCTTTTTTAGATTCTTTTATTTTAACCAAACCTATAGAAATACTATTTATTATCCAAACGTATTATAATTTATCAAAGTCTGGGCATTCATTCTGTTACCGTTACTTATTTCGTCCACGTGAGAGGTGAGATTATGTTTTGTTTTTTGATAATCTTTTTATTAAAAATAGTAAATGATGGTATTCTGACCGCCACGTAGGAATTAAACTCATTATGGTCATACTTAGTCAACATTACAAACAGAAAAGTTGACGAAGAGTTAACGTTTGGATAATTTTTAGGAATTCAATAGGTTTGGTTAAAATAAAAGAATCTGAAAAAAATTTGGGTAAAAAATAGACATTGCCCTAAACTATAAAATGGTACCACAGTTCTTATGTCTTTTGTATAGTTTTGAGCAAGCTCATAAGTAGTGGCATGAAAATTTCAATTCCATAGTATTGGTTCATGGGGTTTTACATAACTCTGTTGATAGGTGCATTTGTTCAAAATGCACGAAAGAGTATGTAGTCAGTATATGCGTTTATGTGAATGATATGCTGATAATAAGCACCAAACATGAAGGGTATAATTGACATTACAAAGTATAATAACCTCTTTCTTCCCAATGAAATATCTTGAGGAAATTGATACTATAGCATCTAAGTAATGAAATATAGTGGGTGTTTTGCTTTATGTCAATCATATTGTGTTGAGAAGATGCTAATAAAGTTTGAGCATTTGAAACTGTTGGACCCGTAAATATGACACGACTCAACTCGAACAATAGCGGTAATCCACAAGTGCAGATGGGCCCAAGCCCACATAGACCCAATGAAAGCCCAATGAAGGGTGACAAGGCTTGACCTATAAATATACATTTAGGTCTTCCAAGTAAGGGATCTCTTCTTCTCCTCTTCTCACTTTGATATATCACTTCTCTCTCTACACATCTCTCTCTACCCATGCTCTCTATGTTTCCCAATCACTATACTAATGTTGATCGTTGGAGTGTAGATAATGGGGGCCATCCCCGCCCTTTCACATATCCGGAGTTTCCTTGTTTCTTGGCTGAAACAATTGGCGCGCCAGGAAGGGGGCGTCACTATACTACTACTGGTTTGATCGATTTGATCTATGAGGGGGCGGCGAATGGCAATATACTTTCCAGCTCTTTGGGGGAATGAACAGAAGGGGTCGGGAAAAGATAAAAGCGGATCTACAGATTTGTTTTGCTTGCTGTCGAGAAAAAAGAAGTGCGAAATGTTTGGAAGGCCCAAATCCGATTCCCACCGTCGGTCATTCCATCTGCTCTCAGTCTATGTTGAAACTTTTTAGCCTGAATCCCGCCAGCAGAGAAGGAAGGGAGGTAGATCTATCGCTAATTTTCTTTGCTGGTTTTGTGGAGGAAACATCAGGAAGTTTCGGTGGGAGATCAAGATCTATCCACATATGTCCTTGTCACACCCCTTCTACAAAAACCAAGATCTGGCTTTTTGTGTGTTCATGAAGCTCCCCATATCTGTTTATGGCTGTACTTTATGGGGAAAAACCGAGGCATATCTTGAAGCACTTTTTAATCTTCCTCTTACCAAAAGAAAGAAGGAACAAAGTGGAGGAATCCTTCTTATGGAAGCTCCAGGGGACGCGGATCCAAAGCCAGAAAGGAGAAAAGGAACGATCCGAGCTTTCGCCGGACGGGGATGTGCACGACGCCTGAGATCCAGTGACAAAGCGATGGAACTCTGGATTGGTCAAGCGTTAGGTTGGAGGAAAGAGATGCCTTCGACACGCCGTTTGGGCGTTAATCGAATAAGCGCATGGGCAGAATGTTACCGGGATCGATTGTTTTTTGGGCTCCAAAAAACAAACAGATGGAGGGCGCTAGACTAAAAGAGAGAGGAGAAAAGGAGGTGTCCCGTGTCGCACATGCGATCAAGTAGCGGGCGCCTTTGCTCGAAATCAACTCGACAAGCGATGGAACTGGGGACGCCGACGCTGATGGAAATGCATAAGAGCTGATTTGAGCGTCATTCGTATATTTTGGAGAAGCCCAGGAGGGGAGGAATTGAAAGCAAGGCGCCTGGTTCTTTATATGTAGAGACGGAATCAATGCAAAAAGAAGTGTAAAAGGAAGGAGAGAGAAAGGAACAAAATAAAGGGTGAAATATGGGGAATAATTTCCCAGATTAGGCCCTACAAAGCGTTCAGCCTTGGATTCGCCTTTGGGAGGCTAACATCCCGCCAAAATTAAAGGTGTTTGTCTGGCAGATCTTTCATCGAATCCTTCCTACAACAGAGGCCTTGCTTGAAAGAAAGATCGTGGTCCATCCTCGCTGTCCGGTTTGCTGGGACGACAAAGAGACTGTGGAGCACCTGTTTTTGGATTGCCAGGTAGCCCGAGCACTTTGGGGTGCAGCAGGCCTAGAACATATCGGGGAGGGACTGCCGCGCCACTCTTTCCCTTTGTTTCTCAAGAAGGTCATGGCTCTCATCCAGTGCCCGGCGCTGTTCATGGCCGTTGTGGCTGTCCTCTGGCGTATCTGGCGATCTCGCAATTGGGTGGTCTTTGAAGGAAAACAGTATAGAATGGATGCTCTGATGCGCCAGTTCACGCAGCAATACGAGGAATGGATGCGCCTTCCGGTGGATAAGCCAATCACGGTTCCTGCTGCGGCGGCCCACCATTCGCACCAGGACGTGATGACGGGGGTTATCTGTGGTTGGGATGGGGCTACTAGGAGGGGATCACATTCAGCAGGAGGGGTGGTGCTCATGACCCCCAATCGTGACCTCCTGATGGCCATTGGGATGCAGATTCCCGTCATTGATGACCCTCTGGTAGTGGAATTGCTGGTCTTGCGTGAAGCGATTATTTGGTGCATAGGACATTGCTTCTCTACTGTTCGATTTGAGGGGGACGCCAAGGTTGTCATTGATAAACTCCAGCTGGTGGATAGTAGAGACGGCAGGATTGGGGCAATTTTGAAGGAGGTGCTTCATTATTTTTCCAGCAATCAAGGGTTTACTGTTCGGTTTGTAGGTCGGCGTGCCAATA